CAAAAATATATTATTATCGTGTTCATGTCATATTTAAATGTGTCCAACCAAAAAAAATAAAATATTTAATGTTCAAAACACCTTCTAACCATCGTCACAGTATTCTAGGAGAAGTATTCAGACATCCTATGATATCCACACAAGGAATAATCAATATCTTTCTTTCAAATCACTCTCCGCCTTAACACTACTTATTGAAACCATCAATCTAATTTAATTAAGTTGATGACAAGATTATAAGCAAACCACCTGGAACATCCTTACAACGAAGAAGGCATTATACCTCCGTTGTTTATATTTGAATGATGAGTGTATGTGGTGATACTTATCAAGGTTTCTTCTATGCTTTAATTAATTATACACGTAAGAGTCATCCTCAAATATAATTTCCTTAATTAAATCCATATTTGGAAGGAACCAGCACGAACAATAATAATAATAATAAAACATGGGGGTGGCATTTGTTTAGTACATAAACAATTAATGTATTACTAATTATTTTTACATTCAAAAGTCATCAATCTTTTGTTCAAAATGATTTTTTTTTTTTTTTCAATGTTCAAAATGATCAACTTATAGATTTTAAGAAGAATTCTGTATACAAATATATTATATCTCATTTACAAACAAGTTATGCATGAAGTGCATATATTAGAAGATTTATCTCATGTAAAATATGTCATAGGGTAAGGATGGCAATTTGCCCTGCCTCCGCTGGTACTCGTCCCGTCTCGCTCCATTTTTAGTAATTTTGAGGGACCGTTTAGTTTATTTGAGCGAGAATGGTTTGATGTATAGAAAACCCGTGCGAGTTCGGTGCGGTGGCGGAGGGAGGTCACTCCGTCCCGTTTAGATAGATAAATTACTTTAAGTACCCTTATTTCATTAGTATATATATTTCGTATTAGTACCTTTATTTCATTAATATATATATATTGAAACAGTTTGTTTTGCAACAAAATCTGAAAATCTGGAACAAGTAGCTTGCGCAACCATTTAGAATGTTTTTAATGTTGAATTTTATGTTAAACTATTTATTGTTCAATTTTTTTTTTTTTTTTTTTAAATCTTTTCAATAATTATATAATTTTAGTTGATAAAAAAATTAAATGGAGGAGAATTTATGGTCTTAAACGGGGCGGGGCCGGTACCGGCGAAGGTAAAGTTGTTAAACGGTGGTGGGGATGGGATGGAAAGTCCCCTCGTTTTTTTGGTTTTGGGCTGGGATGAGGTTAGGGTTTTTAAACGGTTGCGATTGCAGGGGCGGGGGAGGGTACACCCGCCCAACCCTCTCCCGTTGCCATCCTTATCAACAGGGCATTTATTGGACGCTAGACGACTAGTGTAAGGGGGAGTTTGTCCCACATCAGACCTGGATGGAAAAGTGAATGTGTATAAATTGGTGGGTATATAGTACTGCCCAATAACTTAAGTTTTTGAATAAATGGGCAAGTACCCACCCATTACAGTTGGTATCAAAACAAGATTCAGTCCTTAATCATGTAGAACGCCAAACGCTCGGCTCGAAGGGCGTCCGAATATGCACCCCGGGTAGGCAGGGTGGTCCGACCGCAACGAGGGCGTTGCGAGTTCGGGTGAGGGAGAATGTAACAAGGGGGACTTGTCCCAAATCGAATCCGGATGGAAAAGTGAATGGGTATAAATAGGTGGGTATACAATACTACCCAATAACTTAAACTTTTAGGTAAATGGACATGCGCCCACCCGTTATAACTAGACATTATGCTAGTGGTGACGGTGACATAGTGCCAAGTAAAACATGTTCAAAATGTTATATTTTAAGGGATGTTTAATTAAGGTCCGTTTGGTTTGAAATGGTCATTCTCACTCTCTTGTTTGGTTGCAAATCTGAAATGACGTTGAAATGAACTAAGTGGTGGTGGCTGTGGCGGTGGTAAAATGCAATGGTGGTTTCGGTGGACGACGGCGATGGTAATGATGGAAAGTGGTGGTTATGGTGGTGGTGGTAGTAAAGGAAGGCGGTGACGGTGGTGGTTGTGGTGGTGGTGGTGGTGGTGGTGGTTTGTGATAGCGTGGTGGTGGATAAAAATTTCATTTCTTGGAATAAATTTTCATTCAATCCATTTAGAAGTGAAATGAATTTTCATAATGGATATTCATTCTAATAGAATGGTCATTCCCATTCTAAATGTCATTCCAAATAAGAGAAATGAAATGCACATTTCATTATTTTCCAGCCTACCAAACTTGACCATAGGTCTTGGAGTTCGTAGACCTCAACTTGAGGCCTTATAAGCTATTTTATTAGTATTCCAAAATGGATAATACTTGTCACCAATCACCGTGATGTGACACAATTACAAGATGACACGTGATATTTTTAAATTTAAAATATATTAAAAAAATTTAAATATTACTCTTTTTTATATTTAAAATTTAAAATAAATATTTATCATTCTATTTTTGTGCCGCAATATTAGTGAATCCTTCATCCCCTCAAATACCATACAATAAGTTGTATACATATCGATAATAAATCTCTGTGTACGTATAAATCAAGAATAATGATTTTTACACCAAAGTCTTCCAAGTCTTCAATGGAAGACTTCGGCACGCCACAATGCTTTCCTTTGATGCATCGTGTTGGGGCCATAATGCATCCAATGAAATCTTTATTGTAGTTGGCCAAAGTCTTAAATCAACGAACCTTCTTTAAATTTTTTTTTTTAATAATAATAATTATTATATAGGAATATCAAGATAAATGGCTCATCATTCAATGGGTTAAATGAATGTTGACCATATTAGTGCAAGTGTTAATTTTTGTGCTCCAAACTAGAAAGGTAATCTTTGGCGACCATGCTTTTATTCTGTTTTCGTATATGAGAATGAATTTAATTTTAGTATTTTTTTATAAAAAAATAGTAATACTTCAGCCATAATTAAAGAGAATTGTTTCACCGAACATCCTTTGAATAATTAAATTTATAACATATCACTTTTTTATGTTTTTCATACATAATTAATCAAAACAATCCGACTTAACAGTTCATTACAAGTCTGAGGCCTTAAAAATTTAAAATCAATTACCGTACTTGAAAAGTTGTCAAAGATTTCATTACTTGAAGACAATGAGAAGTCCAAATGTTCACTTCCAAATGGCTCTTCATGTTGACTTGGGTTTAGTGTGATGATGGGTATAACAAAATGTAAACCAGGGAATATTCTCTCTCTGCTTAATTAATTGTTTCTTTCCATTTTCCACTAATTTGTATGCCAAATTAGTCAATAGATGCTAAATTACTAATCTGAAAAAAATGAATTTTGTCAGAAAAAGAAAAAAAATTTACTTACTCAAAAGGCCACTTTAACATGTTGGTAAGTCTATTATAATAACAATGGAACAAATTCAATCAATAGCAAATATCATCCGTTGTAAGTTGTTTAATTGGGATTGAAATGTCACGAATTAAAGAAACTAACATTTTCGTATGCAGTAAGTCCACTCTTGGATTGGCCTAAATAACAAAACTCTTATTAATATTACAATTATTTTATTTAAATCAATTGGATAATAATGAAAAAGAAAAATATAATGGTAGTTGTAAACTTGTAATCATTTTATGGAACGTTGCAAAAAGTAGAACTTAAAAAAAAAAAAAAAAATTATATAATATTGTAAGTAGAAAGGATAAAACAACTAATGCCTTTCTTCAAACCCTCCCAAATATTGAAGATAATAAAGACATTATTTAAGGTTATGGGACTTATGGGGCTAACTATCCCCCTCTCTCATTGAAGATAATAAAGACATTATTTAAGGTTATGGGACTTATGGGGCTAACTATCCCCCTCTCTCACCCTCCCAAATATTGAAGATAATAAAGACATTATTTAAGGTTATGGGACTTATGGGGCTAACTATCCCCCTCTCTCATGAAAAAAAAAAAAAAAAAAAAAAAAAAAAAAAAAAAAAAAAAAAACCTCTTCTCGTCTCTCCATTTATTATCTTACTTTTTTAAAAAAATGGTATTTTTTCGTGATTTAAATAATAGAAAAAGATTAATGCATTAAATGAGAAACAATATAAAGCAGTTTTTTAATGCATTTAATGTTTAGAATCTTATTAGGACAAGATGGCAGGCTATATAAAGCTTGTAATGATGACCAGTTTCTCTTTTTGTATTGGTGACCTGTTTTTTTTTGCAGTCCACAGTTTCTCTATTACAGTATTTTTCTTGAGTAATACATAAATAAATAAATATAATCAGTTCAAAATGTTATAAAATAAAATTATACAAGACGGAAAATATAACATATTAATATGGTAAACTAAAGTTGAAAGAAAGAAAATAAAAGGTTCGACACATTTTAATACTCTATTTGTAAATGAAATTTGATTAGAAATTTTGACGGTATACAAATTTATTTCATATATGATCACCATAAAAAGTTAGATAATTCGGTTACTTTTTTTCTCTATGTCAATTCTATGATACAGAATGCATCAATTTCATCAAATAATAGTATTTTATTTTTAAAATTTCAAGACAAAAATTAATTAACATTATGAACCATAAAATTAATTATCACAAAATATGAGGGAAAGAAAAAGTATAGGAGATGGTGCTTATCCAAAAATATATAAGGTAGGTTTGGACAAATTGATCATTTTCACTCTTCATTATAATTATATAATTTTAAGACATCAATTTTATATTATATGCAAGATATTTTTAATTTTTTTCTACTGTACGCACAATAATATAGTATTTTACTGCATATAAATTATACTGCCGGATACTAGGATGAGAACAACTGCCGTGGAGAGCACTACGCGCCAATTTAGAAAGGGTACACGTACACCTAGTTCCAACCAAATTACCAATAATAATCCTATGCTGTCAATTTTTTTTATATTTATTTTAACATAAACCTCTTTTTGACCAAATATTATCAATTTATTTTTTATAGCATGTTATTACAACTTACACAAATGCCGCTATATATTTAACCTAAGTGCTTCCCTCCCTTGACTCTTTGCTCTGCAATCAAAACCCAAAAGGGTCTCTCGATTCCCATTCGCCGCCGCCGGTCACCGGAGTCCGCCGGAAGTTTTTCTCGTCCATCTATTCGAACGGAAGTCTCTCTCTCAACTTCCCGACGAAGTTTGGCCGGCGACCTCTGGTCAGACCACCGTTCCCGGAGTGGCCGGAAAATTCATAGAATGGTCGGAAAATGTTGAAATGACATATAAAATCGGTGAAAGGAACGACTTATAGATTTATATGTGTATGTGTTTGTGTGTGTGTATAAGTATAGCGAGAGGGAGAGATTAGATTTTGTTGAACTGGTTTGGTGGAAAAGAGAGTAATGGCGTGGAGTCAGAAGGCGAAGTGGTTAGGGTTTTTGAGCTTGCTGTGGCTGTGGTCGGCTTCAATGGTCGTGTCTGAACCGACGACGACGCCGTCGTACCGGAATGCTTACGCGACGATGATGTACATGGGGACGCCGAGGGACTACGAGTTCTATGTAGCGACACGTGTCATGCTCAGATCCCTCGCTAAGCTCGGAGTCGAAGCCGATCTCGTCGTCATTGCCTCCCTCGACGTCCCTCTCCGTTGGGTCGAAGCTCTGTAAGTCTCTCTCTCTCTTTCTCTCTCTATCTCCTTTCCTGTTTGCTAATGTGCGCTGTGTGCGTCGGCGCGCGTTAGGAAGTTTCGGCCTTTTCCCTGGAAGTTTCGGAATTTGGACCCGGAACAAGGCCTTTTGGCTTTCCACAAAAAGTGCTGTTTGAAAAGACCTTTTGGCTCTTTCTTTTGGTACTCTCTTAAGACATAATTAGCCTTTGGAAAATGACGAGTGTTAAGACTTTTGAGATCTAGGTTTTTGGAGTCCGATGGTGGTTTGAGTGATTCGTACCACCAACAGTCGGTGACCTTTGGATCACCTGAATTCTTCTGGGGAAAGATATTCTGGTACTGTTAGCGTCGATGGGCATAATTTGACCTTTTCAATCGAATACAATAGCATATAGAGAATTAAAATAATTTGTCCCAAGTTAACATGTTAATGATGGACTACTATATTTTATTGGATAAAATTAAATTGTTACGGACCCAAAATGTGCCTTGCTAATCATTCCTTTTATTGCTTAAACGTGTAATTATTAGATAGTTCTGGACATGATCGAGTTCATTTTAAGCTATGAAGACATTTAAGCCTTAATTTTGATGAGTAATAGTAATAGATGGTTCAATGTTATATAATAATTTTTTCTCTTTATACTGTCTGAATTTCATCATTACAAAAGCTAAATTCATATGAAAATTTTAAAATAAATGTGGTGAGGTTCATTACCGATGTAGCGGAAAAAGTGTATCGGAGAATATTTTAATTCCCCTTGTATGCTTTTATAGATACTAAGTGTGGTTACAAAGAAAAAATTGTATAATAGAAACCAAAATTGTAGGTGAAATATTAAAGTCAGCTTAATATTTAAAAATGTAAAGTTGAATTAGTGAACTATACAAGGTGGTTTAGCATATTTGTTATCGATAATATCTTCATGGTTGGGCAAAAGACAGCTTCATAGGAAGCTGTGCATTGGTCGCTTCTCATAGGAAGCTGAATTGGTCCAGAAAGTAAAGGCCAATTCTGACATTTTTGTGAATTGTGATAGAGAAATGCCTCAGAAGTCATAGCCCCTCATGTGCTTGTTGCCAGCCCTCTTTAATTTCTTTTGCCTTTTTCTTCTTGTCTTGTTTCTGTGAAGGCTCTGGACGGTTTTATCCATATATTTCTTGTAGATATTATCGATACATGTATAATTCTGTATGTGGTACATACCATTTAAGTTGCTGTGTAAGTAGATTGACCGTTGACCCTCTTCACCCCTACCCAAATTCAATTGCATTTAGACCTACAATATTCTCACAAATCTCAGCCTACGATTTCCAAATAGTTAAATTAAGTAGCTTAAGACGATATGTAACTTTAAATCAAGTCAACGCAACCAATCAGCTTTAGCTCAGATAGTATGATTTGTCGAGATTGAGTGTTCGAGCTCTATTAGAAACAATATTGTGAGTGTGTGCAATTGTTTGAACTTTAAATCAACTCAACGTAAAAATCTGTAAAAAAAAAACTGAGAAATATGCTATAAACCTTTGAGGGTGCCTTTGGTTTAGCTCAACATATTCAACATTGGGGATATGCATTATAAGTTGAGCCATTACATTATTAAAATAACCAAAAGGAATAATTTGTGATACTTAGTGTCATACTGATATGGTGTTATAGTAGGAAAGGGCTTGGTGGTACATAAATGTGCCTTATCTATTTACCTGTCAACAGTTGCAAGTAATTAATTATAATAATATTCAGAATGGTTTATACAGAATTTTTTTTGTGTGTCTATATCTATCATTGGAAATCTTTAGTGTGGTAAAAAATCTTAAGATTGGGAACAGTAATTACTTTTAATTTAATAAATTGAGTATAATATTAACTACACTTAATAGCATGCGGGTTATATCATGAAATTATAGAAATATATATGGAAAATTGAGAGAGAGCATGAAAACCGCAAGCAAATAAAAGTTTAAATAAGTCCTGTTTGGGATTTCTAAATCAACTGGAATAAAAATTCAAAACGGAAGGGTACACTTTTGACTGTTAGGACTTAGGAGTAGGTAGGTAGTCCTTTCCTTGTCTTGTTTTCTTTTTTCCAAAATCTCACATTTTGTTTCGTGATATTTGAAAATCTCAAGTGCTATTGCCCAAGTGGTTGGGTTGTTGCTCCCTGAATTTGGGAGCCCATGATCGAGCCTTGAGCCTTGTACCCTTCCTCTCCCTTCTAATCACTAACATTCTTGCCTTGAAAAAAAAAAAAAAAAATTTGAAAATCAATACATATACAACAATGTTAGAACTTGGACCACAATTATTCAAACTAAACATTGATGTAAGCCAATTGATATCAATAAAATTGCCACCCTGTGAATATGGGTCTACATGAATTTCATTAAATTGTGACATGCATAGAATTATAATATCTATATATATATATTAAAAAAAAGAAGATATTTTGATATGCATACTAGTATTGTTACTGTGAATGTCACTTTGGCTGCTTCCTTAACTCCAAAAAAGGAAAAATGAGGTTACTTGCACCGGTTTAGAACTAACCTGATCTGTTTTTTTGGTTCAGGACAAAGGAAGATGGGGCAAAGGTAGTGAGAGTGGAGAATCTAAATAATCCATACAAGAACCAGGCAAATTTTGACAGGAGGTTCAAGTTAACACTGAACAAACTGTATGCATGGAGCCTAGTGGACTATGACAGAGTGGTCATGCTGGATTCGGACAACCTCTTCATTCGAAAACCGGATGAGCTGTTCCAATGTGGCCAATTTTGTGCAGTCTTTATCAACCCCTGCATCTTCCATACTGGCCTGTTTGTGTTGCAGGTAAAGGTTACCTGTTTCATATGTTTGATTCAAGCTATTCTTAAAGCAACTTCCATGAAAATTGACTTCTAATGAAACCTCACTTCTTACGTAGAAATCCATACATGAGTTTCTGTTTCTCAATCAAATTCTAGTTTAGGTCTGTATGGAGACAATTTAATAGAAGAATGAATATTAGTGGCCCCTAACATGAACTTTATGGCTTTATTTTCAGAGATTAATATATATGATATTTTTTTTTGGTAATTAATAAATTTATAAGTTAGTAGACACAAATTTCATTGAAGGCCTTCAAGTTTTCATCTTCTTTCTTGGTTTACCAATGACCTTATTACCAGCATACATAATCTAGAAATATAATTAACAGAGCCAATGTTAAAATTCCTCAGAAGCTATTCTATCTTGAAGTTTTTCGTACGGCAAGCCTCAGTAATATATATTAAGTAGAAAAAAAACAAAGAAGTGATTCTTCAAAGAAAATATATTTACATTCTCCGTTGAATAAGTATAAAATGAATTGTTGGAAAAATCACTGAATTTAATTGCCGCAGCTATATCTCTTTAAACTTCATTCAAATTTTTTCGGTTTTCCCCTAAAAAATCATAAAAATAGTCATTTATAGATTATTACAGCCATTACTAGGTTTTGTTAAGGATCTTTAAAACAGTTACTGAGATCTTCATTACTGGTTAATGCAAGAAGTCTTCTGACATTTTTCATTGGTACCTTAATGAATATGGAATTGCAGCCATCAACAAAGGTGTTCAAAAACATGCTTCATGAGTTGGAGATTGGGAGAGAGAACCCGGATGGCGCGGACCAGGGCTTTATTGGGGGTTACTTCCCAGACCTGCTTGACCGGCCATTGTTCCATCCGCCCCCTAATGGCACCAAGCTTGATGGGAACTACAGACTTCCACTGGGATACCAAATGGATGCTTCTTATTACTGTTAGTAACAATTTTTTTGTATTTTTAGTTTTTTGGTGTGTGTTCTTAATTGCAAATCTATAAGCACCTTGGAAATCTCTCATTGGATTACAAGTTCATAAAGATTGGTAAACTATTCTTTTTCTTTTTTCCCATTTTGGGCATGAGGAATAATTGTGCTCAACCATGTTCTTTCCTTGTTTGCTCCAGATCTCAGACTCAGATGGAGTGTACCCTGTGGGCCTAACAGCGTGATTACTTTCCCAGGCGCACCATGGTTGAAACCATGGTACTGGTGGTCTTGGCCTGTCCTGCCATTAGGCGTCCAATGGCATGAACAACGTCTTCACACTCTTGGGTAAATTTATTTCTACCTAGTTTATACGGCATTATTTTCTTGACTATTTGTTTATGTAACTAGAGATGCAAGTAAATAATTTCTAGTTCAACTTCAGTTATTGTCACCCAAAGCATTTATCAGTTCCAACCATGGTTAACAATTCTTAGAAAGCCATTTGAAGAAAAAAGTCAAGCCTTTGTGCAACTTAGTATTATCATCTCATCCACTAGTTCTCAAATTGTTCATGAATACTGCACATTTATTGGAGATTTGAATGTGTTATTCTAGACTATTCCAAGCTATTTCCTGGATTTTTGATGTTCCTGCTGTTTTTTATATTAATTCTCAAAGGACCTTCCGAAGCCAAATCTTGAGTTGTGCAATCCATTAGTAGACATGTCTATAAAAAAAATATAGTAAATCTTTTTCTAATTTTTTCAGTCCAATATTCATTTCTGTTCTCCTTCAATTTTAATATTTTAACCAAACCGCTTTCAAATTTCTTCTGATTTTTGTCACCACTGCTAATGTCTATTCTTCTATATAATTCATGGTTGTTCATGATTCAACAGGTATAACTCAGAGATGCCCGTCGTACTGATCCAGTCAATCTTCTACTTGGGAATATTGGCAATGACTCGTCTAGCACGTCCCAATCTATCTAAGCTGTGCTACCGCGGTGCAGACAAGAGTATCTCTATCATACAGATTGGCCTCAAATTGGTAGCCATATGGTCCATTCTTGTTGCCTACATAATCCCCTTCTTCCTCATTCCCCACACAATTCATCCACTACTGGGCTGGACACTCTACTTACTAGGGGCTTTCGCGTTTTCCTCTATATCAGTTAATGCTTTTCTACTGCCAATGCTACCTGTTCTATTCCCATGGGTTGGGATACTTGGAACACTTTTGGTCATGGCATGCCCTTGGTACGGGGACGGGGTTGTGAGAGCCCTAGCTGTGTTTGCCTATGCCTTCTGTTGTGCGCCATTACTTTGGATTTCATTTGCTAAGATCATGTCATCTCTTCAGGTTTCGCTGGAAAGGGAATCTTTCTTGCCTAGATTGGGTGAACCTACATCCCCTCAAAGGTTTAACAAGCTATACTGAGACAAAATCGAAATCGAACTCACTGTGTAAAATGCAGGGAAGAAAAGGTATGCTGAGTTCTCGCGACAAACGTCGGAGCTGATTATGTTCTGCTGGGGAGAGAAAATGAGCAGGAAATTTTGATTGTCCATGCTACCAAATTATTTGTATTCATTGATTGAAGTAAGAGGGGGCTCTCATATTACTCTCACTGTCACATGTTATGGTATGAGATCCCTTCAAAAATGATATTCATTAATCGCTTGTTACTTTAATTTATCATATATAAGTTTCTCAGGTCTGGTGTTTCTTGCCATTTGTGATGTGAAAAAAAGGTAATACTAGTGAAGATCTTGAATGGCATGGGTGACAGCTTTTTATTTCATATATTTTTACAATATGAAAGCTAGTTTTTTACAATTTTAAGAGTAGCAGTCAGAACATAAAAAGTAGTTTTATGTCGTGGAAGTGTTGCATTTTTTTTTTGGGGGGATAATTAAAATTGTTGCATTTTAGCATAAATATGTAGAAAAGATCTAGAGTAACTTGATTGTAGAGAACTGATTATTTGATTTGATGCCATGCAACTTTTGTGAATCTGTTTATGTAACTTAAAAAAAAAAATTAATAAGTTATCAAGAGGTTGCTACAGAGAGATTTGAGAGAATCTCTAATATATACGGAGTAGTGTTTTTTTGGCTGATGTCCCTTTTGTTCTAGGGTTTACGTTATAACTACCAAAATGGCTCTAGTAAACAGGTTAAAACATGTGTAGGTGGGTAATTTTTTTTACAAGATTACTTAAACGGGTCTGATCTAGGCCGCCAGATTGATAATTCCACCGATCATCATCTTCTCTAGAGCTACTTACTGGATTGCTCACTAATACCCTCAATTAACGGCGAACAAGCCGTTAATTACGCTTACTAGAGTGAAACTGGTCCTGGGCCTTTCCCTTGTTGGGCCAATTTTTTGGCTTTTGTTTTCCATCATTTGGTTTTAGGCCAACAGGCCCACTCATGTAATTATTTCCTTTTATAATAAATGAATTGCCGAAAAATAAATAAACGAATTGACATTATATAACATGAACATTATTTCGTTACATTATATGGAACAATTAGATTAAGATTTTGTAAAGTGGTTGGAGGAGGAGTTAGTGTATACAGGAAATGGAGTTGGTACATGCCACACTAGAGCCATGTTCGTGTTAGACCCGTGATTTACGACAACTTGGCCTGTATTATCTGCAATCTAGCTGACACACCTTCTCAATCTCTTTCAAACTTCAAAACACGTTTGACTATCTGACCTCTGCTGCGGCCCTCAAAATATCTTTTTGCATTGTTGTGGGCCCCAAATTTTTAATCACGCCAATCGTAATCAAATATTGTCCCCCAAACTCTATGATCCCGCCAATCATCCACATAAACGACTGTCTCTAGTTATACAGTATTCTCAATGGTAGATTATTATGTGAACGGTAAAGTGGATAAAACACCTCTCATATTTATACTCTCTCTCTGTTCTTTAATAATATTTTAATTTGACATTTTACACTTTTTAAGAAAATTTTTATTATATTTTATTAGGTTGACAAAAGATGCATTTTCACGTTTATCATTTCTTAAAAAGTAAAGTATTGATTTTTAATGGAGTCCACTTATTTTTGGGTTTCAAAAGTAGTAGCATGGAAGATGAGTTCCACTTATTTTAAAATTTTAATTAGTTTAATCTTTTAGGGGTAAATTAGGAAATTAATAAAAAATAGTGTATTAATTTTTGAAATGTGACAATTAAAATAGGACAACAAAAAAATGAGATAATGAACTATTAATATGAGACGAGTATTTTGGATAAATAATATTCATAATTTTTTTTAGGGTAAAATATAAAAAATCATCTTGACGTATTAGTCATTTGCAATTAATCCCCCTGAACTACAATTTACTTCATTGACTATTAAATTTTTGCATTAAGGACAGAAGTGACATCTCGGGCAATTGGTGATAACAGAAATAGTTAAAGACAATTTTACCTCTATAAAAAAACTACATCGTTTCGGATTAGTTTCAATAAAGTAAATGACATGGAGGGGTGTAATCACAATATTCATGGGTTTTCCGATTGAGTTTCTTTTGATTGGGTTATGCTAAGAGGTTTTTTTTTTTTTTTTGGTTGCAAAATTTGATTGTTTCTTCATGGGAGACGAATTGAAGAAATTTGAGCAACGAAAATTACATAGAGAGGAGAGATCAAGAAATCTTGAACAATACTCAACACCTCGTCCTTATCGTCACTTGGCCCGCTTGTGTTATGTGACTGTTCGTCCTCATAGTTGCTTCGTGGTGGTACTAGATTGAGGTGGGATTGTGGGAACGGGTCGCACACTCAATTAAATGTTATATATATATATAGATTTCTTACCCAAGTTATGACGGATCGAGTAAGATAGATCAAAGATGAAGAATGAGGAATTTAGGGTTTCTGGATCCCATAAACAGGGCAATGTTTGGTTGGGATTTAACAGTAATAAAAGGGCCATTATCGTCTTTTAGCTTCATTAAGGGATGTATGGTTATTTAAAAATATTTGGTTGTCACGTGGCTTCTAAACGGTCAAATTCAACTTGTCGATCACCGATTGGGTTGATTAATTGCAAGGCGTTATATGCAACTTTTATAAATCAGGAGGTTTTATGCTAATTAGCCAATTTTGTATAGAAGGGTTTATGTTGTGTATATAAGTCCTTGAAGTTTGAAAAATGAACAAAAAAGGGCTTGAAGTCACAACTAAGATATAAAATTTCAAAAACGCCATTTTGTCTTTCAATAATACCCTAATATATATTACCCTTATATATGTATACATATGTTTCATTAGTGACGATGGTGATGATGGAGAAGAAATTATAAAAGAAAAAGAGAAAATGAACAACTTAGTAATTTCATATTTAATTAATTTTTTTACTTATTTTTTTATTTAGGTATAAAGGGACCCTTTAGTGATTTCAATATTTAGGTTCTTATTTGTTTCAAAATTAAATGTCAGGAACTTTTATATATATATATACATACACATTTTTTTATGTCTTTTGAGAGTTTTGTTAACTTATAAACAAGTTTTTAATTTTTATTTCTGAAGACTGAAGTGCAATTTACACTTTTTAATTGGGGAGCAACCCATCCCGCTCAGCGTCTTATGTGGTCTTTTCTTTCTTTTAATAGAGTTATTTTCAACCTTTTTCTCCCCTGTTGTTTTACCATTATATCCTTGATTTGTCCTCCCATTATATCCTTTGTTTCCTCTGTCACTGTCCACACCTCCCAATTATTTGTGGCTTACTAAATCGATGAGATGGTCACTCCTTTTATAAGCCTGAACTTCTTCAATTCACCCTTAAGATACATTATAATTGATGCTCAATGTCAAAAGTCTACAAGATTGCACCAAAATATGTTAGATGTCTATATTTTTTTCGAATTTCTTTTATATTTTAGAATCTTCCATACTTTTTTACAAAACTTTATAAAGCTCTAAATCCAAATCCAAATCCAAATCCAACAGTGTCCTGTAAGCGTTGTAGTGGCGTGGTGCATTAAGTGAACCAAGAACAAACTTTCAAATTTGCAATTTGTTAAAAAATGGTCTGACACTCTGACTATAAATAAGATCACAGTATAGCTAGTAAGATTGAGAACCAGCTTAAACATAATACATAAATGTATATAAGGTACAGATATAAATGAACTTTAAAAATAAAAAATAAAATATAGATGGATAGGCTGTCCATGTGAGATGAAAAGGATAATTTATCATATATATATATAATATTTTAAATTGATAATGTAACAATTTTAAACCATTAATAGAACAACTATAAAGTCACAATATAACACAATTTACTATGTTGTTTGAGTGTTAAATCGTTGTTACATTAATGTTACATCTTGTGATGTAGCGTGTTGATTGTGATATAATATGTTGTACTACTAATACGCTTGTGCACATGATCACATTTGATGGGATTAGGAATATGGCATGATCTCCGATTGTTTAGTGATTTTATAGTTTAAATACTTTGTTAGGTTTATGGCTCGAATTTTGTGTGAGTATAGTGTTTTGGAAGCGTCACCCAATTTATGTGAGCCGGTCCAAAATGGATTGCAGATTAAGAAACTAAAATCGATAGGTTGGGAACTGCCTTATTTGGACTGATTGAAAGATTATGGACCGATTATGAACCGATCGATCACCTGTGAAACATGTGCATGCCTGAGTGTCCTATTTTCACTTGGGAAGTTGTGGAGCAAGATTGATATGGAAACTCTTTGTATGCAAGTTGTATAATTTTTGTACAATAACGAATTGGGTTTGAAGATTTCATAAATAGAGATAAGTATAAGATTAAGGTAGAAAGAGGTAATTGAGAGAATGTGAGTTGAATTTGTGAAAAGAGACAGAATGTGTAACAACATTATGGAAGTAAAGATAGTCGACGTTCTTCTCGCATAGACTTACACAATTTGGTGAGTCATGTAAATAAAGAATGGTATACTACCTACAAACTTGCCAGTGGTAAGATATTTATGGAGAATAATACTACTTCTTGTGATGTTATGGGAATTGGAACAATTAAAATTATGACAACAAATGTTTTAATGAGAACCATGACAAATGTACGTCATATTCCAACTGTTCAAAGAAATGTTATCGATCTCTATGGGAGCATTGGATTCCAAGAGTTATTGGTGTGAATTGAAGATTGAATGAATTGATGGAGATTAGAATGGGTGCACATGTTATGCTTTTGGGAAGGAAAGTCAATAACCTCTATATTTTTTTTGAAAAATACTAGGTTAGGTTCTACTAGCATAGACGATCAAGAACAGCAAGAAAAGGAATAAGTTTTGGCAACTGCAAGAGTAACAGGAAAAGGAATAAGTTTTGGCAATTGTAAGAGTAACAATCTTTATGCGTTCCTTCATAACTCTACCTTGAACCTAACATCTTGAGCAAGAGAAGCAAAAAGAGTTTGATTTAGTGATGCGAGAATCGATTCTAGGTTTAATTATTTTAACTTTGAATTTGTTAGGAATGGAAAAGTGTGGTGGAACAAAGAACGGTAAGAAGAAAGAAGATATTAGGTTCAATGTGTAGCTATGAAGGAATGGATGAAGATCGAATTCGAGCCAATGTGAAGATTGTTAGGTTTGTGGCTCAAATTTTGTGCGAATATGGTGTTTTGGAAAAGTTAGATCGGTCAATGGTCTACGGTTCAATATATCTAAATTCAAAATGCTGGGGACTGTCCTTTTGAACCTGGGTACATCAGTATTCTATACCAATTTGGGAAGTTATGGAACAAAAAGGAATTGTTGACAAACAAATTGGGAAGTTTTAAGCCAGTTGTGAAATTATTGACCAATAAAGAATTGAGTTTGAAAACTTTATAAATAAAGATAAATATGAGAAATTAAGGTAGAGAGAGATAATTTTAAAGATAAAAAGTGAATTGAGTGTGTAAAAAGAGGAAAAGTGTGGAAAGATAGTTTAGAAAATTTTAAAGATAAATCTATCTTGTTTGTGTGTATTTTTATTTATTCTATTCATTAATAGCGTGTGCAATTCCTAACATACATCACATCTCAAATTAATTGATGCTTCTAATGACTCTTCAGTTGAAGCTTAAGTTAGTGCTTCTTAAATTTATTTGCATTATAAAATAAAACAATACGAAAAAAAAAATCTATTGAAGACCTTTAGATATACTTGTGAAAAAATGAAAAAGGAAAATTAAGTATTATGGAAAAAAGAAAATGTAAAAGTTTAAAATATTTGTATTTCACTTTCTTATCGTTTTTTTCTTTGTTTTTCATCAAATAATCAAAGAAACTAATTTTTTGTCGTATCTTCTGATCTTACCAAGCACTCTTGTCGCGGTTAAAAAAGAAATGGAAAAAAGACATCTGTATACGAGTTTGGACATCTTTGTCCCGAGCTAGAACGCTGAAGGTTCTGGTTCCAACGTTCGAAAATATTACTGGCTCTTTTGGGACAAGTGGGGCCCATTTGAACATGACAGAGATAGGCTACAATACAAAATGCTATTAACCCATGCCTGGACCATCATTGATCCCCTCATGCACGCCACCATCAACACCTTCCGATTCTGGACAAAGATGACCGTTTTGACACTACGAGTCTATATATAGCTAAGGAAAATTTTCTGTACCAGTGTACTTATGCTAAGAACAGTGAGCTTCACTCTCAGGCCGTTCGATTGCCAAATCTCATCATAATTTTTATGGGCTGTGATGGAGATTCACCTTGAGGACGAGTCCAGTAATATATAGCTCGGCTCGGCTTGGCTTGGCATGGAATAGCTCATTTGGCAAATCATTTTTTTTCCCCTTAATATCTTGGTAACTTATATATATATATATATATAAATATATATATATTACCGTTATGTAACGCAACTTCAGCTTTGATAATCACTGTTAACACACCGTAGCGTTTTATATTAGAACTTAATATATAAGTTGGATCATTGATGAAGGAATTTTACTTTATGAAATCAAATATATAGTGAGGAAAAAAAAAAAATCAAATATATAGTACTGCAATAAGATGGGATTGGTTCGTAATAAATTTCTGTAATGGGTAGCATATTTTTTTATTTTTTTTATTTTTTTTTTTCATAATATATATGCAGAACTAACATATTAAGACTAGTCAATTTAAAATTTGATAGACAATCAAATGCTGTCATCAAAACTCTCTATAGTATAAGCATTTGTTTTGCTCTTTTAGCATATATATTTTTCGATCATATGGCAAAGAAATTAAATGCAAACCTTATTGTAATGGTAAAATATTTCTTTTGTCACGGCTTCAAAACAAAAGAATAATATGAAAAAATGTAATATGCAATCATGACTGCACAACATCAATGATTAACACGGTGAATCTTTCGCATTCAAAAGTGTAATATGAGAAAAATGAAAAAAAGAAAAAGAATAAACAGTAACAACTCTATATCGTGCATAATGAATCAAATCCCCTAGGCATTATTGTTGACTTTGTGTGTGTGTGTGTATAAAACCCTGATATCATGCAATTGCTAGTGTACAACACCACAGTACTAAGCCAGCCATTCCATTTTGAGCCGAGCCGAGCCGAGCCGAGCACCATGTCTCAAAATGCGAGGGAACATAAAATATGACCGTTGGGATGACACACATCAACTGTTTGAGAAACTATTATAACGAAACACTAGTAATATAAAAAAATTGTCACATATAAATGTCTTCTCTCCGACATTGTACTCTACTACTACTTGCCCACATTTTCTCTGAAGACATTCTCTCTCTTTTTCTCTCTCTGCATATTTACTATTTCAGTCTTTCATTCTCTTTCTCTGAACATTTAAAGCTAATTTTAATGGCTTACTTTAATTCATTATCACAGTTATTCTTGTACTTCTCTGTGTTTTTCTTATTAATTGCACCAGTATTAGTAACGAGTTCTCATCATTACCAGGTCAATTCGGCGAATACCACGGCAACTTCCAACTCTACCAAGCACCACCACCACTGGGTTGGACCCTCCGGCCACCGTCTCATCACTGTGGACCTTCACGGGTATGGCGAATTCAGTTCCGTTCAAGCTGCTGTGGACTCGGTCTCCGAAAACAATAGAAAGAATGTCCTCATCCAAATCGGCGCTGGTTATTACATGTAATATTCAGCATTGCTCATGCATTGTCAGCTGAATATATCCTAAATACAATTGTCCTATATATACACACACACACACACACACATTTATTTATTTATTTATATTGGTCTAGTGCACCTGATGATGCTTACACAATGATTAGAAAAACGAACTCGGATCCTTTACGGTGTGTGGTACATATATGTTGTACCCCATCTAACGGATCCCAACATTTAGATGAATATTGAGCACTCTCCAAAAAAATAAATAAATAAATAAATAAAATAATAGTACTCCAATGTAGAGGGACTCAGGAGGATGAGATATATATTGTTTGGTGTTGTATGAATTCTGAAAAAAGTCACTTGATGTAAATGATATAAAAAAAAAAATTAGGTTTTCTATTTATTTTATTTTATTTTTAATTTTAAATATGTAAATTGGGTGTACACACTCCCATTTGTCCCCAGCCGACTCGAACTTTAATTCTACTATTTAGAAGGATGATGAAATAGTATTTAGGCTAATAAGTCACATTCGTTAAGATTTAGATTTTGTATCATTAGATTATGTGAAATTAAATTATGTGATATTGATGAACTGAAGCATTTGGTGTAACCACACTTTAATTTTATTTAAAATGTTTTCTATATATTCTTGCTATAAAAAAAAGAAAGAAAAAAAGAAAAAGAAAGATAAGACATTTATTAAAAGGCATACACAAGTACACAAAAGGTGTTTATGCGTTGAAGATGATGACATACATAGTTCACGGGTCACACAATTCACAGCTTGAAACTTTACACCGTGTATTTGTTTGTGTCTCTGTTCTCTTTGTTGTATTCCTTTTTTTTCTGTGTTGTTGGATGTTATGGTGACTGATATGGTATGGTGGCGGAGCAGAGAGAAGGTTGTGGTGCCTGCATCAAAACCCTACATCACGTTTCAAGGTGCAGGGAGGGACGTGACGGTGATCGAGTGGCATGATCGAGCCAGTGATCGTGGGCCCGACGGCCAACAGCTGCGTACTTATCATACTGCTTCAGTCACTGTCTTTGCCAGTTATTTCTCTGCCAGAAATATCAGCTTCAAGGTACGTGAAGTCACAGTTCCCTATTATTCTGTTAAATTTCCCTTTATGCCCTTGCACTGAAATAGGTATTACTATATTGCCATTCCGACCTTTTGTTTCTCCAAGTTCAAGCACAAATATATTCCATGGTCAAGACTAGTAGTACAGTATATTAATTTATTATTCTCGTGAAAAAAATAAAGGAAATTTAGTCTTTTATTTAATTTTTAAAATTTTTTTCATGACAAAGAACTCTTATATTACTTATTGAGACATTGACTCAAAATCTTTATCTTCATTTTGAAGAGATACAATTATCTTCATTTGTAATATAATTAACGAAATAGTTAAATTCTAAGAGTTCAGCTGACGTAATATAATTTTGAATTTTATAACATAATTTTGAAAACCTTTCTGCATTGTTTGGATGTATTGCATAGAATACGGCACCGGCACCGATGCCAGGGATGCAGGGATGGCAAGCGGTGGCATTTAGGATAGCCGGCGACAAGGCGTTCTTTTCAGGATGTGGATTCTATGGTGCACAGGACACACTTTGTGATGATGCTGGCAGGCATTACTTCAAGGAGTGTTACATTGAGGGCTCTATCGACTTCATTTTTGGCAATGGACGGTCCATGTACAAAGTAATAAATTAACCCTCTTCAATTTTATTTCATTATATATATTATCCTAAAGTCTCTTTAATTACAAATTTATATAATTGTTGTTGGAATGCTGTGCATGAGCATATTTTTAAAAGTAAATAAAAGCATGGACACTTTGTTCAACTCTATAAAGGCTCTTGCAATTGTCTGTTCTTATGCCTGTGGGTGTCAAAAAGCAAAAAAGGAAGGCAGCTTTTTCTACGATGACACAGTTGTGTGTGTGTATATATATATATGTTAGATGTATGTATCAGCTGGAGTGCTTACTCCCTGCTCGATACCTTGTAAAATGGGGATAGTGCCATCCCTAAGCCCTTATCTTATATCTAATTATGGTTTAAATAATCCTTATCAACAATTGTATTTTAAAACTTAATTATATATATATATATGTATATATCTATATTTTATGATTTTTCACATGCACACATTTTGAACCCAAGTATTCATCCAAGAATATATGCTTTATAACAATTTTTTTTTTTTTCCTTAAAACAATTCAAGCAAAACGTGCACATTCATAATATTACTCCTAGTAAACTCTACCTCGTATTAAAAAAGAGATCATAATATCTAAACAAATTTCTATCGACTTTATGTATGTGTTTATATGTATACATAAACATATATAATTCTATGTATAGGCATGCTTGTCAGGCTTAGTTTGTATGAGTTGATGACTATTGACTACATAGGTTATATAAGATGTGACATGTGAACTGGTTTTCTATTCTTGCATTCCATGCATTGACTCTTTAGTTGGGAACCAAAAAAAAAAAAACATAAAATGACATAATTATCCCTAATAAAGCACCATATGAGATTACTTTTTCAAATAATAATAAATATTTATTCAAGGATATGTAATTATCATTTTCATCCTTCAAAAAACAAGTATAATGTAAGTACAGTATACATCATGCGCATATATATATATAAACACACACACACATACACGCGCATATATGTACACACACACACACATAAACATTTATTTGCCGTTTTAATGGTTGACTTGCTGATGAGTTGTGTAGGACTGCGAACTGCATTCGATAGCTTCCAAGTTCGGTTCCATCGCGGCGCAAGATAGAAACACGCCGAATGAGAAGACTGGTTTCGCTTTCGTGCGCTGTAGGGTGACTGGGACGGGACCACTTTATGTGGGCCGGGCCATGGGCCAGTACTCCCGGATAGTCTTTTCCTACACTTACTTCGATGACGTGGTGGCCCATGGAGGTTGGGATGACTGGGACCACACCAGCAACAAGAACATGTAAGCCCCCACTTCCTCAACTATCATTCATTACTAATGACACTGGACCCCACTTCCCATCCAAATGGGCCCAGTTGTGATGGGCCTCTGCATCAACCTTTCAGACCCAAAATTCAAGTCAATATTAGTGGCTTTAGTAATTAGTCAATTCTATCATCTTCATTAAAGCTTAAAGTGTTCAATGCTTGTATGATAATGATATGAATCATATGAGTAGCACTGAAAAGGAAACAAATATGATTCATATCTAATGGTTCACGATTTCCAAAAAAGGGTCCATTATTTGATTTATTTTATTTAATTCTTAAATCTAGCTCTAATCCATTTGCTTTAGGACAGAGGACCTGTTTGGTGTTTGGTGGTGTAGTTCTTAGAAATTAAGGGTGGTAAAGTTTGACATAATTTGTTAATACAATTCAAAAATAACACGAGTTAAACATGTTAGGATTGACCTTAAATGAGTTTAGGTCGTAACTAGGTCAACACGATTAACCCGTTTAGTTAATCATGTCGTGTTTGGGTTGAGAGATTTAACTCGTGTAACCTGTTTACAATCGCTTAACTATACGCGTCATAAGTAAATTTCTATTTAAGTTCTAAAATAATTATCTAAACTTATATTTTATTCTTTTATAGATTAGAGAATATTAAGTAATTTGGTTGCATTGAAACTTATATTTTTCTAATATTTAATGTTTGATTGAGTATTATTAATAATTTAAAAATAAAATATTTAATTTTATTAAACAGGTCATTAAACGGGTTACACATGTAACACGTTTAATAAACAAGTCAGATTAGTGTTGAGGGTTTCTGACAAAATTATTATACATGTCGTATTCGGATTAAAATATTTAGTAAAATACCCTTATATCGACACGACACAATTAAACATAAATTGCCACCCCTATTAAAAATCCTTAGAGCTAGAGAGAGAAAAAAAAAAAAAGTAAGTTTTATTTTATTTTGTTATAAAAACCCATTTTTACATAAATCTTGGATTTATGAACGCACATAGTTTATGATTATGACACCATTTGGTGTCATCAACTAATTATATCTTATTACACAAATAAAAATACATTTACTTCACTATTTCAGTAAGTCATATCACTAGTCAGCATCTCACGTTATTGAAATTTCGAGAACACTAAAGTATTTTTCACTATTTAGGATCCATTTCTGTAAAATATGCCAAACAGAGCTCGTATTCGTCATGACCCAGTGATCCGGTCATAATCCAACTTCTTCCATTTTTGGTCCAATAATTGGGTCCAATTGGAGAAAGCCCTCTACTTTCCCAAACTCAACCCAATGCCCAATAAAGCAATGATTTTTTTTTTCCGTGACAAAGAACAAAAAAACTCTGAGATACATAGAGAGACTTCACCAGATACAATAGCTAGCACTTTCTGTATTCAAATTTCTGTGGAGTATTTGATTTGATTAAGAGTGCTTGTCTCATTACACACAGGACTGTGTTTTTTGGAGTCTACAAGTGCTATGGGCCTGGAGTTGCTGCGGTGAGGGGCGTATCGTGGGCCCGAGAACTGGATTACGAGTTGGCCCATCCATTCCTTGCCAAGAGTTTTGTTAATGGAAGACATTGGATTGCCCCATCTGATGCTTGAGCAACACACATCTCATACATATTCACAACTATACTGCCATTTTTTCATTCAGAAAATTCGTTTATTTAATTTCATATAATAAGCTCAAAAAAATCGTTATAGTACCATTTCCATTGTTGTAGAAATTTTTATTTTGTAAATTTTTTTTTTTTTGGAAGTTCGATCAAACACACACCATTGTTACAGTAAATTGATGTCCATTTGACCCATATAAATATTATACTGTATTTGTCTAATTACTTCGAATTTGAAATAAGTTGATTATGGAATTCACAAATCAATTTCGTTCATTATTATCCATTGATATTTAAAGACCATTATATCATCCGATGTGATCATGATCAATGATGGAGTTATTTACTAGGAGACTGCCATTCATACTCGAGCTTCAACATGATTTTATTTGATAGATGTCATGTTATATATTTTCAAGTCAAAAAAATGTACTTATTTCACCACCACCCAAAAAATAAAAATAAAAAGGATAACCAATATCTAAGAAAATATAATATTTACCTTTTAAAGCAAAGGAAAATAATGTACCATATTAAATTAAGGCAAATTCCTACATATAAGAGTAGAAACAGTAAACCTAAGTGGTTTTCACCTGCATAATGAAATAAAATGGTTCTAAGAATCTTTCAAACTAGAAGAAAAGAAAATATATATATATATATATATATATATATATATATATGGCTATTTTAGCGAGAGATGACTTGTAATGGACATAAGAAACTACGGAATACTTGTTTCAAAAAACTATTCTCAAGAATTCAAAAACACAAATAGAAAGACTATTCTATAAGCTCTCCAAAAAAAATATATATTCAAAAAACTGTCAATCATACAAAATTTTCATACTGATTTCTGATTTTCTTTTTTCTGAAAATAAAAAATTGAAACAATCACACTTGACAATTCTCCAAAAAAATGAACCATTTGTAAGCCAACCTATGCATATAGAAAGGAAAAATAAAAAAGAGAATGTATTGAAGGGAAAATGAAAGGAAATAGCATTTACAGTCAATAATAATAGCCTTATGCATATATTTTTGAAAAAAATTCGACAATCCCATTTAATGACCCTTCCAACTTTGCCAGAAATATGACACCACCTTACCTGAGGAATACCCTAGTGAGTGCAAATCAAAGGCATCAGCCACTACAAACCATGATTTAGAGAAAAAAAAAAAAAACACGTATACCATGAACCACCCAAAAGCCTATGAAATTGAGAATCTAAAACCATTACAGTGTCGGGATGAAATAATTTGAGATAAATTTCCGACGAAACTACTTTATTTGCAAGAAATGAAGAGAGATTGCAGGCAAGACCAGCCACAATGTCGGAGATATTGCCTCACATTACACAACAATTTTGTTGAGACTCGAGCATCTCCGGAGATCTGCAAGAGGAAGATAAATCGCCAGTTCAGCTATTATTATTATTTGGTGGTATTAAACAAATAAAATAACTTGAAACTGCTTCACACTTTTTACTTGATGTTTTCTAACATTTTAATTCTGCTAAATGTAAAAGAATAATTTCATGTTAAACACGAAGCTAATAAGATGAATAATCATCTCAGCCCAAAGATCATGCATTAATTCTTTCTCAGAGCCATCAAATTAAGTGTGATAACCTTTCTAAGAATGATATAAGAAAGAATCCAATTAATGGCTCAAAGGGAGAACTTGTCGTACAGGGCACCGTCTTTCTAGACTTTCTCCCAATAATCCACCACGAAACTAGCAATTTCTATTACATATTGAATCGAAATTGATAAGTAAATTCTAATAATTTGACAATGACTCCATCCAAGACTACTTTACTAATATCATCATTTTCGTAAAATATCAAATCTTGAACAATAAATATCTAAGAATTTATGCACGTTTCTTAAAAATTTAGGCTGTGAAAAGAAATAGATTAGAATACTTACAATTGGCCAAAACTAGATAGATCAAAGTCAGGAGCGAGCTCTTGAACAATGTCATTAGGCGGTTGGCCACATTCTTGCATTTTCTGCATGAGCTCGACAATCTTGTTGAAATTATCAGGTTCGGTTTCATAAACTTCATTCAGATTCTTTATGAGTAAATATTGGCGGAAGTAACGATCATATTCTTCTTTGCTTAAACTAGCTTTATGCTCTTCCAACCATTTAGGATATCTTTCTCCAATTTCTTTCATAGGTTCGTGAAGAATTTCCTTTGACAAGAGCTGTTGCATCATGGTCTCTACAATGGACTCCATGTTCTGGACAAAGAGAAGAAATTTTTTTAAATACCCCTGCTCCTTAATAGATTGTATTAGTGGAGAAAAAATGGACAAGGAAACCAGCACCTTATATCATACAACAATAAATCTAAAACCAAATAAGAAGGCAGTAGTACTATTATTGCTGTTGCTGGTAGATAAAAAGGCAATATGCCATTGGCCCACTGTAGATCCCATTTTGCATTGCCTAAAAGGAAAACACACAAGCACATACACCACACACGAATTTACAATTTTACAAAGAAATATTCCTTTCTGTGTGTACATTTGTGGGAGCAATCACCCAAAACTAGGAATGGACCTGCTTCACTTCTCCATTGCTTAATCTTAGCCAAATTTTGTGGAAGGTAAAAAATACTAAACATGCACAAAATGATGGTCAACTTCCGGAAAGTAGAAAGTTAAAAATTGAGCAAGTGATGGTTAAATTCTAAAACAATTGATTTTCTCTATATGATTTGAGTACCTAGTCCAAATAAGAATATTCCCAGTTTTCAGCATAAATGACAACTCTAAAACTGTTGGGATCTAAAATTGTGCACTTGGATCTCCTTAAGCACATGAAACGTTTAGATGTGGCCAATGAGGATGCATGCCACAACCTAGCATTTATGGTTTCCTTTGACAAAATTTCAAGAACAAAAAGATACATAAGGATGAATATATGATTGAAGAAAGCCTTTACTTAATGGTGAGTGCTTGGAGGGAAGGCTGGGTACAAGCTAACCTTTTGCATTATTTGCAACAAAGTAGCTACTCTCAACCTTGCGTTTTCATGGTTGATTGCCCCAAAAATTAAAAGATGAAAAGAAAATCTCAATAAAGCATGTTCCTAAGATGATTTTCTGCTGCTGAACATTAATTTGCTAAGGCAGAGAGAGAGAGAGAGAGAGAGAGAGAGAGATAAACTGAGCCATAAAAATAATCAGGGGTACAAACTTTCTTCTAGGTAGCGTGTTAACATAAAATTCCTGAAATTGTCGAATACAAGGAACAAGTACATGAACAAACACAAATACATGTGTGTGTGTGTGTGTGTGTACTGATAATTGTTTCAGCCATCATTCCCTTGTGGGGGGATTGAGTGGATGAATCAATTAACGAATATGAAGATAGATCATCAAGGAGACGACTTGTTGTTCCACTATAGCTGTATCCAGTACTAACTAGATGACGCCGCTTCTCCTTTTTTGGGTAAAAGTTTAAGCTGAGTTTTCCTTCAAGGTGAAACAAAAGACTCGAGGCATATCCTTTTGGTTATCTTTTAGTACCAAGAATATGAATAATCTTAAAATAGTGGGAGAAGAAACAGAGAGATAATGAGTGACAACAAAATTTGCACACTTATTTAGAACACAGAGACAGTTGAACAAACAAATATCATCAACATTCTCTCACTAAGGGCAGGGAGGAAAGTAAAAAACCTTGTCTAATAGATTCATTGAAGAGACATCACATTCGGAAGAATATTTGTCCAAACAGGGAAGATTTATACATAAAATAAAATAAAATAAAAAGGCTATAAAATTGTTTAACGAAAACTGATAAAAAGAAGAGAACAGTGCTGCTAGCAAGGAAGAAGGTAAACTGAGCCATACACCATAAGACGAGAGTTGAAAGGAAGAAAGCTGCTGATATGACGATGTCTTGGCAGGTGGTCATCTGCCTGACAAACAACCCACTTAATGTTCAAAGCTTTGAGGGGCTTTTGAACAATCTTACTCTAAGGCATGCCTCAAAAAAAGCCTTTAAAACTTCATCACATTGACTTCTCTTAATTGGCCAAGTTAGATCAACTAATTCCTAGACCCATTTTCTACTAGTGGCACCAAGAGGTTAAATTTCGACATCCGTGGTTAGAAAATAACCAGCTGTTATAACGAAGTATTTCCATTCAAAAGGTATAGCTCCTGTTGCCATGGACAATTGGACCTTGGTGTATGGGAATCAACTGCTGAAATAATGTTTTTTGCTTAAATAACAATTAGTTAGAATTCTAGAATAGATAAGTTACACATCCATCACTAAAGTATGATCATTTTTAAAAATAACATCCCCACAACCTACATTTTTATCAACCATCAAAATAAACAGGCAAACTAACAAACCTAATAATGTGCTCTATCTTGCAGTAATTTTTGCCAGGGGAAAAAGAATAAAATAAAATATTTGTTATTATTCTTTTCCCTTTGGTTATGCCATAGAAGAATCCTAATCCCGTCTTCTGAAATTTCAACCTCTATCAACTAAGGCGTCTAACGATCAGCCCCATACTACTCGACCTTAAGTCATCAGTCAAAAGCCTGCAACTCACAAACTACAACATTTGAATTGTTCAATCAAAATAATATTTCATTAGTGCAATCGCAATTTTGTCAAAAACTCTGTCAAATAGTCTAGTTGTCAGAACCAGACTGAGATAATACATAATATTACACGGCTGTATATATTCTAACTGAAGTAGTCATCGCGATCCTTCCAATGATCTGAAGTGATTCTTGGATCCTGAAGTGGTTCTTGCAAGCCACTTTGTTCTATGCAACCCAAACACCGTACACAACGGAAGAGTGTTTCAATAACATTCTATGCAAACCAATATATTATAACACCTCATTCTATGCAACAGAAACACCATACACAACGGCAGAGTGTGCTTATAATATTCTATGCAAACCAATAAATTACTACACTAACATGTTTAGCACATGATCATGTTCCAGCATTCCTCACCTGATCACCAACCTTGTCCCTCATGAGTAGAAGTCCCACAAATGTTCCTCGAAAGAAAGCTTATTTAACCTTTTTTTTTTTTTTTTTTTTTAGGGGGGGGGGAAGGAATTCATGAAACACTTCTCCCTCCAAATATTCTGCAGTAAAAAATACCTTAAGATGGCTCTAGGATGTAGCTTTACTACATTTCACAGTATTTTCATAAAAGTTCAGTAAAAAAGACAACAACAATAATCATTAATGTCGAGTTGGGTACATAAAAGCAGGGAAGTCTTTGCCGCTGGAGGGTATTCTATAAGGCAGCTTAACCAGTTGTTTCATTCCATTTGAGCTGGAGCAGCAAACATTGTTTCTAATTCATGAATTAACAGCAATCAATCAGAAGATTCAAAATTGCCATTTCCTTTTTTTTTTTTTTTTTTGGGGGGGGGGGGGGGGGGATAGAATTCAGCTCAGACTTCCCCCAAATTTTTGCCTTAATTACTAGAGGCAGAAAAAGACACAAGCCCCTTTTTCTCAAATTTTCACTTTGCTGACTAAATTTTTTTGTGCGCTTTTTATCCAAAGTTGAAGCTCAATCCATGCCCCCTAACCAGACCAAATTTGGCCAGCACCATGCAACAAATTGCGAAATCCAAGAACCATGTTGGCATCCAAAGTTTTCCCAAGTCTTTTTATTCTTTTTTGGGTGATGGGCTGGGAGAGGGTAAGACAACCTGCACTTTAAAGAACATAATGTGCAGAAACTAAAAGAAATCAATGCATTTAATTTTTAAGGAGAGCATATCTTAAACTTCTTAGAAAGATCACCCCATTAGCTAGATATTTATTTAAATGGCTATTTAATGTGATATATCATTTTTAACCACCAAAAATTGAACTATTAGCTTGAGTGGTATCTCCTGCCAACCCCGGACCTTGAAAGGGCTCGTGTAGTGTTCAAGTCAAACTTGGGACACAAATATGCGTGTAGTACTTACCAAAAAGCATGATATATCATTTATATGCATCCTCAAGTGATATTAGAGTGATTTCATTTAATTCAGAAACAATCATGTCATTTGACTGGGAACAAAATTCCTTTGAAAAAATGTCAGCATTGCAATTGAGTGCAGCAATAACAAAACTATACTGTCAAGAAGTGACAGCAATACTAATGGATGAGCTGGGGGAAAATGGGCATTTTGTTCAACAAAGATTTTAGTCCCCTCACTACCCATTGAAAAGGTGAAATTACACAGTTTCAGCACATTAAAACAATACTGAACTGGACCCTGGAGAATCTTTGCAAATAAGTACATCCATGCTATCTAACACAAGTGTCAAAGCAATACGCATCAGGAGTAGCTGCCACATAATCGTGCGAACTAAAAAGGTTTCCACTACCTCACTTAATCAAGGGATGAATGGATGATATGACAAAAGGAGGCCACAAAATTTAGAGAAATGTGTGAGAGTATAAGAGGGACAATTCCAGAAGATAAATAGTTGATAACTTATGAAACCGTTCAACTCAGTTAGATGGCATCAGCCAAACTAATGAGCTTTCAGACTGCCCAATCACAAGCTTCTCTAAATCATAAAGCTATTAGATTTTTCACTGCAAAGAGCTCATGTTTGACATTTTTCTATAAGTAATATGATGCATACTTAGTTATCAAACTTGGTGTAAAGCCATTCAACGTCGTGCTATTGTTTCTCGCCACTCATCCTTATGTCACAAATTTAGAGGGGGTCAAGATCCTCCCTGTTGAAGCTCCCAAAAATGAGGAACACCAGTCAAAGAGGTGTGAGAGATACTGAAATAACATTAACAAGCAAACTGGGTTGCCACCAGATCCACACATTCCGAGCCATCCCCTTACTATTGCTCTCTCCTCTCTTCTTAAAATCCAATAAAAAACCAAAACAAAAAATACATATATAATAATACACTCACCTTGGTCCACTAAGTAAGAGGGACAAGTACGAGGAAGGGGGAGGAGGGAGATGGACGGTGTTTTCACTTTTCATAGTTTGGTAAGAAGGGAAGCAGAAGGGAAAAGAAGATAGGGGGAGGTCTTTTCCTGGAGCCCACCAAATCTTTCATCCCAAAAGTGAGTGGAGAGGAGGGAAAGGGCCTCCTTTTTTCTTCTCTTTTTTACTTTTTATATGTTTTTACCTTTAAATAACACCTTCCTTCAATACATAGGGTATCAAATCCATGGAACTAGTTCATGCTCGGCCGAAAAAAAAAAAAAAAAAAAGGATAGAAACATCCTTCCTTTCACCGGGATAAGTTTTCCATACCTCATTCTTCCCTTCAAACAATCCATCCCTTATACCAAAAAGAACGGTTAAATGCCTACATTTCGGCCACTCCAGCTAAAATTGCTTTAACTATGAGTTCTTGATCCCCTTGGAAGACTGACCAGCAAGGTTACTTAAGGACAATAATTAGGCCAATTCAACACTTTGCCACAATTTCACATGATAATCAATTAATTATCAAATCAACGTGATTTTTTCAAGTAAATTATTGCGTGTTTCTGCCATAAAACGTAAAACAAAAGATTTATAAGAGAATATCAACTGTTTTCTTTAATTTCTGATTCATATGCTACAGGCAACAACCCAATTGAGAAATGAATATGAACACCAGGTTTAATCATGCAAAACCATGATCCAAAAGCACCAAACAACAACAAATTTCAACTATAATTCACAACATCATAGTTATTCAAACCACAAAAGCATAATGGAAAATCAATAAAAGAAAACCAGCACCCCAATTTCATTAACGGAATAAATACCTGAGACCCAGCAAGCTCCTCAAACTGTTTAACCCAATCCTCAATCATAGGATCATTCCCCAAATCATTTCCACTGGGTTTTGCACCACTCATGGATTCCAATCCCTTAACAGCCTCCTTAGTCTGCTCCCTAAGCTTATCAAGAGCCTCCGAAACATGTGATTCCTTGGAAACCTTTTGCTTACCCTTTTTCTTACTTTTCAAATCAGGCAAACCCATACCCAATCCTTGAACCTCACCAGGCGTAGAAGAACTCTCTTGTTTGTTAATTCTACCATCTCCAGTCCTACAAGCATAGTTAACCCTTTTCTTCATACCCAAAACTTTATTTTTAAGAATTTCTTAGCCAGAAATCAAATACCACAACTTGAAGAATATATATATGTGTGTATATGTATACAAAAGAGAGCAGCAAACCTAGTAGAGGAAGAAGTGAGATTGAGGTTCTGGAAATCATCCAAAGCGTCTGAAACAATTCGAATGTGATTCAGAAAACAATTGTTAGAGATATAGAGGGGGAGAGAGAATCAGTTTTTTACCGTCAAGGAGTTGGTCTAAATCGCCGGAGTGATCAGCCATTGATGCTTCCAATCTCTCTCTCTACAAATCTCTCACTTTCTCTCTCTAAGAATCTGTGCGTGTGAGATAAGGAAAAAGGTGGAGGAATCTGCAAGTTGAGCCTATCGGCGGGGGAACCGACGAGGCCTGACGATACCAGAGGTGGGACAGGAATCGAGATGGACGGTTGAGATTTAATGAGATCGACTCTTTGACTAGCACTAGACCAAAAACTCCCAATGGCACTGTCATTCTGTATTCTGTTTCTGGCTTGGGGTTAGGACTATGTTTGGTACAGTAAAAAATAAAAATTGAATTGTGTTTGAAAAAAACGAAAAGAAAAGGAATTCATTTTAATGAATTTAATACCATACTATTTTTGTATAGATTTTGTTTTCTATAAAAATAGAAATAAATTTGGTGTATTGTTTTTTATTCAAAATTGAGAAATTTAATAAAATTTCATTAAAAACACCAAATATCCGAATGATGATAGTAAAACTATTGTTTTCATTATTATGTGATGTGGTGTATTAATCTTCCATAATTTTGTTGTTAAAATCACGTGTCAAATAATTTATATTTAATTTCTCATATGGTAGTTAACTTTGATATCCTAATATTTATTTTCAACCAAACGTGGGCCCAAAACACAATCTTGCTTGCAAATTTTTCCATTTCCTACTAGCTAAATTCTTAAAATATTCAAATATTTTTCACTTCTTTCACCTTCTGCAATTTTGATCTAACCAAGTGATGCTGAGAATAGGACTGTCTACATTTTTAAATAAGTTATTTATTTATTTATAAGACACACAATGGTCTAAAAGTTGTAATTTTTTTTTAAAATTTATGATAAATTATACCCACATAATCACATTCCTTCAAATTTGAATTGGGGACTGTCAACATACTAATTTACATTTAGGGGGGGTTTAAAAGCCACCATACACATTTTCTATTTGAAAAACAATTATCTTAATCTTTGACTTGGTCAACAAATACAAAAAAAAAAAAAAAAAAATCTAATGAATTAAAAATGTAGAAGTAAAATCTAGATTTAAAAGTCCAAAAACAAAATAAACAAATTTATATTGCAAAATGTAAGTCAAGGTAAATTTTGCAATGAGTGTACTGGACCGCTGGTTGCGCTCCCTCTCTTTCTAGGGTTTAATGGCAGCTTTGAAAAGCCCTAGACTCTGTTAGAGTTTCACTTCTGCTTGCTCTCTATTTCTCTCTTGGGTTTATTTCTAGGGTTTAATGGCAGCTTTGAAAAGCCCTAGACTCTGTTAGAGTTTCACTACTGCTTTCTCTCTATTTCTCTTTTGGGTTTATTTCTAGGGTTTAACAATGTCGGACAACTTATCTAACGAACTGATGATGGAAATTCTGGCAAGACTACCGGTGAGAACTCTTCTGCAAATCAGGTGCGTCTGCAAATCTTGGTGTTCTCTCATCAGTAGCGATAATTTCACGACCTTTTGCCTCAATCGCACAACCCATTTGAACAAAATCAACAACACTCACCTACTTCTCATTAGGCACTTCACTGAAGATGATGAGAAACAGGAACGTTTTTCCTTGTATCTCGATAACGAATCACTCACTGAGCACCATATGAATCTCGAAAGTCGTCCAATCGCACGAATGTGCGCCTATTTCGACATTATTGGTTCTTGCAATGGCTTGGTATGCCTCATAGATTGCATCATGATTCACACTGATCTTGTATATCTGTGGAACCCTACTATTAGGAAATTAGTGGTACTCCCTGAGCCTCGCATTACCTTCCATTCACACGGTCCTTATCATCGTGCTCTCGGATTCGGATTTGATTCTGCAACTAATGACTATAAGGTGGTTAGAATTGCTTATTTTCGTGGTGGTCCTGAGGTTGACATTTACTCCCTCAAGGAGGGCGGTTGGAGACAGATTAGTCCTGCTGGTCACATACCTGAAATGCAATTTGATGCACCTAATGCTTGTTTCCATGGAGCTATCCATTGGCTATACAGAGCGGGTAATTGTGTCCCGTACATCTTGTCATTCAATTTGGGTAGTGAGGTATTCTCCTTGATGGAGCTGCCAATGAGTCTAGGTCAGAGACGGGTACAAGTTCGAATGCTGTCTGTTGGAGTGTTTCAAGACTCACTTTGTGTGTTTTTCAATGATTGTTGGGAGGGCAAAGCGTCAATATGGGTGATGAAACAATACGGGGTTGTGGAGTCGTGGACCAATGTTTTCAGCCGCGATTCGAAGAGAGGAGGTTCTGTGAGAGTTCTTGGCTTGAGGAGGAATGGTGAAGTTCTTTTGACAAAAGATAAGGAGATGTTTTCAGTTGACACAGAAGCTCATAAATTCAAGTCTCTTGTGATGCGTGGAGATGGTAGAGATGCGGAATTGTGGGTCAATACTTACATAGAGAGCTTAGCCTTAATCGATAAAGTAAATGGAAGCTTTGGGGAGCAAGCATTGTCTTCTCAATTGGTGCAGGCACTTTAAGAAGCAAGAAACAATCTAAACAGAAGGCAAGATATTGTTCCCAATTATCCTTCACTGTTTTTGAGCTTACCTTCAGTATTCCTATTAGGCTATTACTATTACTAGTATGTTAATATCAGTCTTGCATTAAAAATAAAAAATAAAAAAATAAAAAAAAAATAAAAAAAAAAACCTCTTTTAATTGATAGTTTAATGATACTGCTGAGCCTTTGTGGTCATGATCAATATATATTTTGTGGTGATGTATATCTACAACAAGTAAAGAGTGGGGTTTTAGTTCTCTTGGTGTACTATAATAGCTGTAGTTGTGAATTGGATCTTATTTGTCACCTCATTTGGTTTCACTGCTAGTTTTAATATCACAAGTATATTGGACAGGGATGCAGATAACACTTTCTTTACATTGATGGTATATTAGCTCGACTAATGGTTCGTTTGTGGCTGATATTCAACTCATTTGAGACTTGACCTGGTTTGTATTCTCTTCTGAATGGGAATGATTTTTACTATAGAAGTGACTCGTATGGATAAAGACAGCCATTTTGTTTCTTCCATCACTTCTAGATGCCTTGTTGAAAATGTGTTTTGTTCATGATTCCATGCTTTTCTTTTTTCAATCCCTTCAGTGGTCTTGATCAATATAAATTTTGTGGTCATGTATGTCTACAACTAAAACACTCAACTACTTCTCATTCGGCACTTCACTGATTGTGGTTACGTATGTCTACAAGACTACAAGTGGGTTTTAGTTCTTTTTTTTGGAGTAATAGCTATAATTGTGATGTTGATCTTTTCTGTTACCTCATTTGTTTTCACTTGTTTTCATATCATTAGTATATGACTTTCTTTAGAGCAATGATGTACTTAACTCAACTAATGGTTAATTTTAGCTGATATTCAACTCATACGAGAATTAGACCAGACCTAAATTATATTCTCTTCCCTTTCGAATGATTTTATATGATAGAAGTGGCTAGCATGGAAAAAAAGGACAGCCATTTTGTTTACTCCATCTCTTCTAGAGTTCATACTCCCCTGCTTTTCTTTTCTTTTTTCAATGCCATTTTCCCGGCATTAATTTGTTGTGTGTTCTAAATGGTTGCCGATATCGTTACCTTTCATGTACTTTGTGTTTGGCCTCATTATGAAAGCGATAATCAGTATCACAACAAAGTGTTATTTATACAACTAAGCTGCAGTTAATGTTTGCCTTTCATATAGGAAAAAAAAAAAAAAAAATTGTTATCTTTATTTAATTTACATTTTATTTGTCTAGGCATTCGTAACTGTCTACAGAGAATCAAAATATTTGATTTTATGTGCATTATTCAAACTCAGTTGAAAGTAGATTAAAAGCCCTAAAAGATGACATTACTGCATAATATGATGTGGTATTTGCCTTCTTCACAGTAAACGGTATTTTCTTCCTCGAGGTTTGAAGTTTGCATTCTTTGGTATCATTCGATAATCACTCTCTGCTCTAGTCTTCTCCATCTTATATATAATTGTTAGATTGGGACTTTTGAAGATGAACAAGGAATGGAGGAAAATTGATTTTGGAATTGGTTGAGACTTACTGAAAAATGTCACAATCTTTTTCCAGATGCATTTTGCATTTTGAAAGGATTCAGATATGTTTGGAGTTTGGATCAGATTTATGACCAATATCCGAATTCAAATTTAAATAAAATTTGGATTATATTATATTTTGAATTAAATTTGGTTAATTTCTTGTGTTCTCTAACTCGAAAGTTGGATTATAATTTTTTATTTTTATTTTTATTTTTTGCATAGTAAAAATAAAAGCTATATAAAAATCTAAATTGGTAATTTTGCAAAACATTTAGAAAGGCTATTATTATTATAAAAAGTTTGCATAAACATAGCTTATTTTAGAGAGAGCAAATTGTGTTTTTGTAAGAAATATTTATGGAAAAATTAGGTGGTATTGGAAAGTTGTTTTCTCACAAAATTTTCTTTCTTTGCTAACTAAATTCTTGAAACGTCAAAAAAACATATCATTTATCTTCTCTTTCTTCAATTTTTATATAACCAGAAGATGTGTTTATTACAGCTAAAAGCGTCTACATTTTTAAATAAATATATATATTTTTTTGAGACAGAAAAGAGTCACAAGACTAGAAACGCAAGACGGCCTATTCATCCCATCTAGCTCGGTACATAAGACACGGCCAAGCCAATTCCATACAGCTCAACTTAATTTTCAAAATCTAGCAAGCTAAAAATATAAAAGTAAAAATTGGGCATAAAAATTCAACTATTTTGAGAGAGTAATAAAAGACAGAAAATAATTTGTTTTCTAATTTTAGAAAACTGTTTTCAAAATTACAAACGTTTTTTTCTCACTTCTCATGTCAAAATGTATATCAGTTCAATAATAGAAATGGAAGAGAGAAGAAAAATAGAACAAAAAGTAGGGATGAAATGTGTATGACATTATTGAAAAAACATAAAAAGTGAATTTTTATGTATAATAATATTTTTTTATTATTATTATTTTTTGATGTACCTGTAGAGTCCATGTTTTGTTTCTTTTTTCTTTTCTTTTTTTTCAGATTAAATCGTGCCTGTATTAAGTCGGACTAGTGTGTTTATTAGATGCTTGAAATAATTTTATTTTATTTTCTTCTTTAAATTTTTTGCCTCGCTCAAAACTACGTAAAAATGCTCAAAATTTACTAACCGCAGTAAAAAAAAATAAAAAAAAATTGTTCACCTAGATAAACGATTGTCTTTCAGAGAGAGCTTCCTTACTGATTGCTCTCTCTCTCTCTCTCTCCTGGTTTATTTCTAGGGTTTCTACAATGTCGGACTACTTATCCAGCGAATTGATGATGGAAATTCTGGCAAGACTACCGGTGACAACTCTTCTGCAAATCAGGTGCGTCTGCAAATCTTGGTGTTCTCTAATCAGTAGCGATAATTTCGTGACCTTTCGCCTCAATCGCACAACTCATTTGAACAACATCAACAACACTCACCTACTTCTCATTAGGCACTTCACTGAAGATAATGAGAAACAAGAGCGTTTTTCATTGTATCTCGATAACGAATCACTCACCCAGTACCATTTGAATCTCGAAAGTCGTCCAATCACACGAATTCGCCCCTATTTCCACATTCTCGGTTCTTGCAATGGCTTGGTATGCCTCGTCGATTGCGTAACGAGCGATTCTGTATGTCTGTGGAACCCTACTATTAGGAAATTAGTAGTACTTCCCGAGATTCGCATTACCTTCTGTTCGCTCCGTTCTTATGGATATGGATTTGATTCCGCAACTAATGACTATAAGGTGGTTAGAATTGCTTATGTTCATGGTGGTCCTGAGGTTGACATTTACTCCCTCAAGGAGGGCTGTTGGAGACTGATTAGTCCTGCTGGTGACATACCTATAATTCCATTTGATGTGTCTAATGCTTCTGTCAATGGAGTTATCCATTGGCTCTGCGGAGATCGTTGCCCTTGCATCGTGTCATTCAATTTGGGTAGTGAGGAATTCTCCTTGATCGAGCTACCAAGGAGTTTAGTCCAGAGATTGATAGTACCAGTACATCGGTTGTCCATTGGAGTGTTTCAAGACTCGCTTTGTGTGCTCCACAATGATTGTGTGGAGGAGGGCGTAGCGTCAATCTGGGTGATGAAACAATACGGTGTTGTGGAGTCATGGACCAATGTGTTCAATCTTGATTCCGACGGAGATTTTGTGAAAGTTCTTGGCTTGAGGAGGAATGGTGAAGTTCTTTTGACAAAAGATGAGGAGCTGTTTTCCGTTGACATAGATACTAGAAATCTCAAGTCTCTTGGGATCAGTGGAGATGATGCAGCATTTTGTGTCAATACTTACACAGAGAGCTTAGTCTTAATCAATAAAGTAAATGGAGGCTTTGGGGAGCCAGCATGGTCTTCTCAATTGCAGGCACTTTAAGAAGCAAGAAACAATCGAAACAGCAGGCAAGATATACGTTCCCAATTATCATTCACTGTTTTTGAGCTTACCTTCAGTATTCCTATTAATAGTATGTCAATATCAGTTTGCATCCAGATAGCTTCTGTATTCCTATTACTAGTATGTTAATGATACTTTCTATAGATTGGCGATGTACTTAACTAGACTAATGGTTCAATTCGTCGCTGATATTTAACTCATTTGAGACTTGACCTAAATTATGTCTACAAGTAAAGAGTGGATTTTAGTTCTCTTGGTGGAGTGATGGCTATATTTGTGATGTTGATTTTATTTATTACCTCATTTGGAGTGGTGATGTACTTAACTCGGCTAATGGTTAATTTGTGGCTGATATTCAACTTATTTGAGACTTGACCTGGATTATAATCTCTGCTGAATGGGAATGATTTTATACTTGCATGGAAAAAAAACAGCCATTTTGTTTCTTCCATGGCTTCTAGATGCCTTGTTGAAAATGTACTTTATTCATACTCCCCTGCTTTTCTTTTTTCAATGCCCTGAGTTGGTCATGATCAGTGTGAATTTTGTGGTTATGTATGTCTACAAGTAAAGGGTGTGTTTTAGTTCCCTTGGTGGAGTAATAATTATACTTCCGATGATCCATACATAATGGCAAAGGGAGTCATTTGCTTATCAGTGGTTTCCGGTCATTCACTATTTGCATCTATCACACGAATTGCTTGTATCTCGATAACAAATCAATCATTGAGTACCATTTGAATCTCGAAAGTCGTTCAATCACACGAATTCACCCCTATTTCGACAATCTTGGTTCTTGCAATGGCTTGGTATGCCCGATCGACTGCCTAACGAGCGATGCTGTATATCTATGGAACCCTACTATTAGGAAATTAGTAGTACTTCCTGAGCCTCGCATTCCCCTCTGTTCGCTCAGTTCTTATGGATATGGATTTGATTCCACAACTAATGACTATAAGGTGGTTAGATTTGCTTATGTTTCTGGTGGTCCTGAGGTTGACATTTACTCCCTCAAGGAGGGTTGTTGGAGACAGATCAATGCTACTGGTGACATACCTGATGTTCGATTTGATGGATGTAATGCTTTCGTCAATGGAGCTATCCATTGGCTTTCTGGAGTTCATCGCCCGAGCATCGTGTCATTCAAATTGGGTAGTGAGGTATTCTCCTTGATGGAGCTACCAATGAGTCTAGGTCAGAGATGGGGAGAACTACAAAGGATGTCCGTTGGAGTGTTTCAAGACTCACTTTGTGTGTTCTAAATGATTGTCGGGAGGACAAAGCGTGGTGATGAAACAATACGGTGTTGTGGAGTCGTGGACCAATCTGTTCAGTCTTGATTTGAAGAAAGGAGGTTCTGTGAAAGTTCTTGGCTTGAGGAGGAACGGTGAAGTTTTTTTGTCAAAACATCAGGAGTTGTTTTGTCAAAACCCACAAACAAATGTAGACTCCGAATTGTCTGTCGAGACATTTGATCAAGAATAATTGCTTCAGCCAACTCACCTGCTTGTGCAGGTTTCATTAATTTCAAATTTTGTGAATGGAAAAAGAGTCATGCATTATGATAAGAATCTTCCAATTTTCTGTTTGACATACAATTTTATTCTGTTTTTTTGTTTTGTTCTTCTTTCTTTTAGATTTTTTACATACATATATGTTATTTCAAAATGCAGTAGGTCACTATTGCAACAGATGGTGGAGTTTAGGAACTAATGGGGGCAGCTGCCCCCACTCAACTTTATTATTATTTTAAGTCAGTATTTATATTTTCTTTTTCTTTTCAGTATATACGACCCTTCCATAGCTTGGACTCATGGGTATCATACTATTGTACAATGCAATTGATCAACTTTTATATCAATATATATGGACATCCACCTGTTGGACACAAATGGGCACCTAGACCCTTCGTCCTCATACCATGTTCAATGGAAATGTTTTTAGTGAAATGGAATTCCGAGAAATTGAATCATCAATGCCTACATTCAAATTTTCATTTTATGATGGTTTAATTTCATGGTCGTATTTCATAAATTCTGAGGCTTTCCTTTTTATTTGTGGCTTGTGGATACTAGCAGGATTTTTGTATATAAAAAGCTTACAGACTAGACACGTGTTGAAGCAGAGGAAGCGCTTAGTTGGGAATTTAACAGCTCCAGAGGTTAGAAGGGTTGATGGCGAGTACTGGTGAAGAAGAACTTCAGTTGGGAGCGTTGTTGCTGCCCCAATCATTCTTCAAAAGCTGACCTGATAGAATTGAATAGGTTGCCTCACTGGCTTGGATTTTGCTGAACATGGTAGAATTTGCTGTTCTTCTAACCGGAGGATCCTTTTTGGAAGGAGTTATAATGCTGAAAGCTGTTCAAATTTTCTTAGCTCTTTCTGTTTGTAAAGAGGATAACGTTGAATACTTGCAAAACTTGAACCATGAATATAGCTGCTCTCGCTCTCTTTTGTGTCTACAAATTGGGATTTAATTATTTTTGTTTTAATTTAAGTTCCATTTAAACTCTTGTTGGTTGTGAATTTCATGCTTTTGCTTTACAAAAAGCCTATAGGGGAAGATAGATTTATCTACAGATTCTATGCAGTTTTTCTACAACTTAAATGATTGTACCCACTAAAACTACAAGAGTAAAGCGTTGTTCACACTTGTGTTATTGTATTTATGCAATTCTTTTTTCTTTTTTAAAAAATAAAAGTACAGATTTGTAAGAATTTTTGTTAGTTTTCTCAACCAAACAGATACTCTGAGTTGTTCTTTGAAAACTATTTTGCAGGAGGATTTTCGTAATAAAAAAACGTGACACTATTTTCTGTTTCAATTCTCAGGCAACTATTTTCAAAAACTAAAAAGACTGATCGAAGTTTGGTTTCTTCAAGGATGATTCTCAATTTTTAAGGCACCATTGATTCAAAATTGTATACCCTGAATCCCTGATACAAGTAAACAGTATATTTTTTTCATTATTAGAGGTGCCAAGTTTGCATTCTTTGTTATCCGATCAATTGATAATCACTCTCCCCTCTAATCTTCTCTGTTTTGTGTCTAATTCTTAGATTGGGACCTTTGAAGCTAAAAAAACAAAGAAATTAAACCGTACAAACAATGGAGGAGATTTGATTTTGGAATTGGTTGAGCCTGAACCTACATCGTGCTTGGTGAGCTGAGCTAGTGAAAAAATTGTGCATTTTGACCTTGCAGCGGACGAAGTGACATTGGGATTCTGGAAATCATCTAGAGAGTCTGAAACAATTCAAAGGTGATTCACCATCATTCTTGTCGTATACCCAATAAAATCGACCACATGAATTATTTCACAAAGCTTTTCTCTCCAAGAAAAGAGGTGTGGGAAGAGGAGAGTGAAGAAATTGAGGAAGACAATTGGCATGACATCTTTATACAAGTGACGATCTAAGTCATATAAAGAGGGAGTGAGAACGAAAACGAGAGTATGAGGGCGCGCGGGAGTGCAAAAGCTGCAAAATTTAAATCGCAAAGTAAGAATCACGAAGCGTGAGAGCGAGAGCGCCACAGAGCATGAGAGCAAAACTAATTTAGAAAAATTATGTAACTTAGTGATGATTAAAGAAGAAAAGTCATGTTTTCATACAAACATATGTAATTTGTCCAAACTAGGATTACACTCGATTTGGTTTAGTCCGCTTTTAGGCTAAATCGAACAGTTTCAAAAAATTGGAACCAAAATTGTTGAGGCTTAGAACTGAACCGAACCGTTAAAGACTAGTTCGGTTTGATTTTGAACCACGATTTTTTTTTTTTGTTTTACCTTTCCTAAAAATAAAAATAAAAATGAAAAAACTCAAAAACACAAACCACGTGGATTTGGCTTATCAAAACAAATGTTATTTTATACAAATGGGCAATAATAAACCTCTCAACTAATAAGTATTTAAAATTTATTTGTAATATAAAAGTAAATGAGATATTATCCTATTTTTGTGAAATAAATACTATAAAATTTAGAAGTAAAAAATCACAATAACCTTATTTTTGTGTGTAGTCTAAGAAAATATATTGTTGTGTACTAGTTTTTATCTTTGTGACATATGTTGTTATATTATTATTTATTAATATTGTAATATATATATATTTATATAAGTATATTTAGTTTACTGAATTTGGAACCGGAACTAGAGCCGATTCCTAATTCTGGAACCCAAATCGAAATTCAATTGTAAAAGAATCAAATCGAAACGTTGGACACAGGTCCTGATTCCACGGTTCCCCTAGTCCAAACCTTAGAAAAGATTAGCCAGACTAGTATGCCTATGACTGTTCAAGTGTGCTTCACATAATAATTTGGGTTCAGAAAATAAAACGTCTAGAAACAAAACTTTTCTAGGTTTGAACATTATTGAGGAATGCTAGGAGGTCACGTTTCAACTCATGTGAGAAGTCCAAAATTTGTTGCCACCCTCACCAAGGTGTGGAGCCAAGAATTTAGTTTAGGGGCATGTTAACACTGACAAAATAATTTTTTTTTAATTTAACCGAAAATATAGTGTAACAATAGTGCATTAGAATAAGTGACTAAAAAATGAATAAGAAGATAAAAAAGAAAAAGAAGGGTTATTGTACATAAATTATGCACGAGTGCAAAAAAAAAAAAAAAATTTAAGAAGAAAATAAAATAAAAAGAAAAAAAAAGGAGAATTTTGAAAGAAAAAACAGGTTTTAATTGTAGAAAGAGAATGTAAAAGTTTTTGAATATGATAAAAAGAAATTTGAAGAATAAGAAGGAAAAGGAATAAAGAATTAAAAACATTTTTAGAAATAGATAATTTTATGGGGATAATTTATAAATTTTATAAGAGTGTTTTATAAATATTTACAAATTATACGCATAAAATAAGATAAAATTTAAAAGAATCAGGGGCAGAGGGATCATTTTAATAATTTCAAGGGAGGTAATTTATTAATTTTTACAAATTTATGTATTAAAAAAAATTATAATAGGGCAGCATAGGCACGGGGGCCACTGACCCTCACCCATATGGTCAAGAAAGTGAGTTGAAAAATCTCAGTCAATGACACCGCTTGATTAGCCTATTATGTAACACTTACAAATAATAATTAATTTTTCCTCGTACAATTATGATATAAAAGAGCTTTCTATACACAAATTACTTTTAATTATGGCCATGCACCATCTGTATATAAATTATTATAATTGCCCTCTCTACAAAAATTCATATTTGACATGTAAAAAGATGAGCTTAACGTCAAGCCTGTCTAACTGTGCATAGAGGTTACGTGACGTAGGCATCACGTAGTGCCATGTTTAAGAGTAGAGTGAAGTTTTGAACTCTTCCAGATTAATGTAGAGAGTGTAGTGTCTTAGAAATGGTTTCAAATGTTTTAGAATACTGGATAAAAGTTTTTAGAAGAGTATAGAGTTTTTAAATTTTGTAGGAAATTTACTTAATAGGAAATTCTAAAAGATAGACAGGACGTTTATAAATAGGAGATGAGTTCATTTGTAACAAACAATTTACAAGTGAATGAGGAGTGATCACGAGTGAGAAAATCCTATACAACAATTACTTTAGTAGCAATTGATGGTAAAAGTATATTGTCATACAAGATAATAGATACAATGTTTATAAATAGGAGATGAGTTGATACTAAAATTAGATCTATGAGTTGATACTCAAATTAGATAAGATCGAGTTGATTTGTAACAATCGGTCTCACTAAACTCATTAATATTTAAGCTATTGTATCTAACAATGTACAAAATAAATAAATAAATAAAAGTTGCAATGACATATTTGAATGACGATTATGATTATATTAATATTTGAATGATGATTATGATTATATTAATAATCGACTTATTAAACCTCCTCACCTATTTTAGAAGGCATTAGCTCATGTGTGAGTATCTGTCTAATAAAAAAAGTAAAAATGAAAAATAAAATTCACTAAATTTGTTAGAAACTAAAATTAATTAATAATTCAAGTCATAGGATTTTTTTTCTTGGTTTGCTAAATTTATGTGTTTTCAAAATAGAGCAATTTTTTCAGGAAATATTGAATCTCATATTGTGATGGAGTGATAGCTATATTTGTGATGTTGATCTCATTTGTTACGTCATTTAGAGTGATGATGTACTTAACTCAACTATTGGTTCATTTGTGGTTGATATTCAACTCATTTGAGACTTAACCGGAATTATAACCTCTTCTGAACGGGAATGATTTTATACTTGCATGGAAAAAGACACCCATTTTCTCTCTTCCATGGCTTCTGGATACCATGTTGAAAACGTATTTTATTCATACTCCCCTTCTTTTCTTTTTTTCAATGCCTTGAGTGGTCATGTATGTCTACAAGTAAAGAGAAATAAAGAGTGGGTTTTAGTTCTCTTGGTGGAGTAATAGCTATGGTTCCGATGTTGATCGTATCTGTCACCTCATTTGGTTTCACTACTTGTTTTCGTATCATTAGTATATTGGACAGTGATGCATCTAAAATGCACTTCCTTTAGAGCGATGATGTACTTAACACGACTAATGGTTCATTTGTGGCTGATGTTCAACTCATTTGAGAATTGACCTGAATTATATTCTCTTCTAAATGGGAATATGATTGTATACTATAGAAGTGGCTAGGATGAATTACTTCCACTTCTAGATGCCATGTTGAAAATGTAGTTGTTCATACTCCCCCGCTTTTCTTTTTCTAATGCCATTTTCCAGCATGATTTTTTTGTTGTGTGTTCTAAATTGTTGCAGATATCGTTACCTTTTATATAATTTGTGTGCACTTGCATTGAACTTCGACTTTGATGCTTTTCTATGAATCAGAAAATAAAAGTCCCAAATCTTGAACTGCGGTTTTTTTTTTTTCTTCTTTTCATTTCATTTCATTGACAAAAAACACACTCACACTCCCATATATCCTTACGGAGACTTGAACCCTCGACGGTCTATCTCAGAAGGCAAGGAAGTAGCACTAAGTTACAGCCTTCGGTTTGTAACTAAGCTGCAATTATGACCTTTGTACCTTTCAAGAATGGTAGCCCAATATAGGTCATTTCTTTTAATTATTGCAAAAATGTAAAAAAAATTCCAGTATCGAAACTTACGTTTTCCTTTCATATAGAAACCAAAAAAGCTGAAGGAATTTTTTCTTTTATTGCCATTATTTATCTTTAATTGTTGCCACCAATGTTAGCTGCATGTGGAGGTGGACATGTAACAGATCAAGGCTGCAATAATGCTACAAATACTATTATATATAGTAGTTTATCAGAGCAGCCCAAGTTTTACCTTTCTGTTTGTGTGGCATTCCTTTTAACTATCTAGAGAGAATAAAAATATTTGATTTTATGTGCATTATTCAAACTCAGTTGAAAGTAGATAGAAAACCCTAAAAGATGAGCTCAATTTTAGCAATTGGGCAAAAGATTCCAGTTGCTGAAACTTACGGCATAATATAATATTTGGCTTCTTCACAGATGAATCCCAATTTTTAACTGTGTTAGATTCAAAATTGTATGTCCTGATTCAACCTTAACACACACAGCAAACGATATTTTCATTATTAGAGATATCAAATTGCATTCTTTGTTATCGTTCGATAATCACTCTCCTCTAGCTTCTCCATCTCAGGGTGAAAGGAATCTGCAAGTTGAGCCTATCGGCAGGGAACCGAAGAGGCGTGACAATACCACAGGTGGAACAGTAATCAAGATGGACGGTTGAGATTTGATGATTACAGTTGAGCGAAAACTCCCAACTCCGAGGAGTGCACTGTCAGTCTGTTTCTACCATGGCCTTAAAGCACTGAGGCTCTGGGATGATAAATTATTTTGTAGTACATACTAAAACATTATTGTGTATTTTGTTAATTTAGTACAATTGTGTAAATTTTAAACGAATGTTTATTTGCTTTATATTCTTAAACGTGAGTTTTTTTATTTGGAGTGAGAAAATTAAGAAAAAAAAAAATTGAATTGAAAGTTAAGCGGGACCGACACTGTTGTCATTCCTAGCAAGAGGCATTTGTGTCAATTTCAACGGCAATGACAATTTTTTTTTTTAAAAAAATATGTATCTTTTGTTGGTGAGATAAATGTCACAATCTTTTTCCATATGAATATTGCATTTTGAAAAGATTCAAATATGTTTCGAGTTTGGATTGAATTTATGATCAAGAATCAATATCCGAGTTCAAGTTTAAATAAAATGAAATTTGGATTATATTATATTTTGGATTAAATTTGATTCATTTCTAGTGTTCTTTAACACGAAACTTGGATTATAATAATTATTTTTTTATTTTTTGCATAATAAAAGTATTAATATCCCATTCAAATTTTTGTTTACGAAATTTTTTTAAACCGTTCATTAGATTTTGCCGTGAGATAACAAAGTGAAAATGAAAAAGTTATATTAAATTTATTGTTTTTCTAACTTAATTTTTTAGATAATCTTTTATTTATATACTTTTTCTCTTTCTAAAATGTAAAAATGTTCAATTACACAAATACACAATTCTTACACACACACACACAAAAATAAAAAATAAAAGAAAAATAACTATTTTTACTTTTAAAATGACTATGGGTGTATTCCTACTCCACATATTAGACTACCTCCTTCCCAACATGTGAGGTCTAATGTTGAGGACAATTTTAGCCCTCTTTATTTATTTATTTAAATAGAGAAAAATCAAACTTAAAATCTCCATCTTTACTTGGATCGGATGTGGGACTAGTTGTGATTGGGGTACCTATTTTCTTGGGTGGCTCACCAAGATTCTTTTCGGGCCAAGCGCTTAACGTGATATCCAATCAAGGATTGAGTCTAACTCTAATACTAGTTGTAACGGGTGACGTTTGTCCATTTACCAATAATTTAAGTTATTAAATAGTAATATATACACACTCATTTAACTTCTCATTCAAATCCTATGCAAGACGAGTATACCTTACAACACTTAATCACTGGGACTAAAGTTATATTAGATCCCACACATCAATTTCAAATTAAACAAAATTTTCCCTTACCAATTTGGCTTAAGTGTATAGTACACCTCCCCTCCCCATGAAATTAACTTATTTTAACTTATCATAATTATTTAATTATTATTATTATTATTATTTTGCCCATTTTAAAAATTATTTTAGGAAAATTGAACCAAGCCACCTTTCAAAAAATAAAATAAAAAATAATTGAACCAAATCTTTCCAACTTACGACAAAAAGGGATTTAAGAACCGAGCCGGTGGCAGTGGACACAACCAAACCAACGCAGCGGTAAGACAGTGAGAGCAGCTGGGAATCAAATGGCTGCTGCGTTATCTTCAGCCTCTTCTCTCCGCCTCAGACCCTTCTCCACCGTCCGATTCCTCGCCGTCTACCGCCAAACAAACCTCCCAACAAAACCCCAAACCCTAAAGAACAATTCTCATCTCCCGCCAAAGTTTCACCCTCTCTCTACTCCCTCACCATTTCCCGACCGGAGACCTTTTTGCACTTCAATCTCATGCGTTCTCTCCCCCGGCGAGGCCGTAGAGAAGCCCAAGAGAGAGTTTTTCGAAACCCAGGGCATCGAAAAAGTTGGAGAGTTTCGAAAGAGGTTGAGGATTGTCGACATCAAGGGAGGACCTGACGAGGGTTTGGACCGATTAGGGCAGACTTTGTTGGTAAAAGGTTGGGTTCGGACGCTTCGGGTGCAGAGCAGTATTACATTCATCGAGGTATCAATAATGATTATACACAAGCAGTTCATATAGGAAGAAAAAGAATTGAGTTTTTTTTGGTGGGAAATAAGTATTGAATTGTTCGTAATTTATCTTGGAAGTTTTATTGTTTGGGTGTTAATTGTTTCTGTATTTGTTTTGAATGTACAGGTCAATGATGGATCTTGTCTTTCAAACATGCAATGTGTGATGAACTCCGATGCTGAAGGTTATGATCAGGTAGTATCACTACCAAAATCTGATTCTATATGTTCTTTTGTCTGTGTCTATTGAAGATATTTTATTTTATTTTTATTTTGCTTTTAAAATTTGATTAAGTAAACAACAATATATATCTCTCTTTCCTGTTATTTTTGTGAAGTTAACAAGATAATTTCTCTCTTTCCTGTTATTTCTCATACTTCTGCATGCAGAAAGTTATTTAACATAACACTTTATAGAGGTCTAGAGCTTGGAAAATACTTATATATAATATAAAAAAGAGTGAGAGATAAAAGAAAAAGAAAATAGAGGACTAGAGCTGGGAAACCACGGGAACTTACAGTTACAGTGGAAGGCAAACATGGTGGCCAAGTAAGACTGAAAGGCGGACTGTATGAAACCTACAGAATCCACCAAACGTGTAAGCCTGCAACTATAAGCCACCATGATAGTCTACTCTTGAACCCTGAACCAGAATTGTGAAAATCCCCCTAATATAAAAACAAACAAAAAAGAAAAAAATGGCAATTGTAATAAAACTTAAAGGATAATTAATCTCCCAGACACACTGAAGGTATCTGGTTCAAGTCCGGGCGACGCCATTGACAATACAGCGCTTCACTTATAAATATAATAATTAATCGTCCGGGCAAGTCATAGGAAAAATCATCCTACCATCCGATTGTTCCAAATTTCCATCTCTCGGATCAAAGGACGGTTTTGGACCTTTTGGTAGTAATGTAAGTAGAACTAATGCACACTAGCTTAACACAAAAATGAAATATGATTCAACTTAATAATGGAAGCTACTTATTGAGGATACACTTGGGGAGACATTGAGGGAAAAAAGCTCTTAATATTGTTCTTACAAAAGTGGAGAAAGTGTATGACAAGATTTCTAGAGATATAATATAATATGGTTGGTTTTAGAAAACAAAAGAATTAAAAGAGATATATCAATATGAGAAAGGACATATGTGGTGGAACTATGTTTAGTTAGAGCGACAATGAGAAATAAGCATATATTCAATCACTGCAGGCTTACATTGAGATCAGGATTATGTTCATTTCCCCCCTCTTTTAGTAACAAAAGAACTGGCATATTCAAGTTGAAGCTTCATGATGTATGCCATTATTGATGAATGTGCCAATTCTTGAATATGCTTGTTAAATTCATCATCAGCATCATCATTATTGCTTCAACCCCATATGAATGGGATTGACCTCATGAATTATATTTGTCCATTCTTTCCTATTACAAGTCATGTCTCTTACAGTATTTAACTTTTCAAAATGATTTCTAACGAGTTCATCCTATTTTAACTTCGATCCCCTACTTTGCCTTCTACCTTTCTTGTAAATTTGTCCCCCTCTCCTTACTAGAGTATCTGCAGGTTTTCCTTGGATATGTCCATACTACCTAAGTCTATTTTCTCTTTTTCTCGTCACATTTTGATTAGAGCCTTAGAGGTCTAGAAAGAAGCTCTACAATAAAAAGAGTTTAAGATAAGTATAATTGAAATTGAATATATAAAATGTAATTTTAGAAAAACTAGAAATACAAATGAGGATATAGTGAAGATCATGGGTCAAGACACGCACACAAAGTTATGTAAACTCGAGTGTTCAGAAAGAGGGATAAATGGATAATGTTAATCAGGATAGGTTAAATAGGGGATTGTTTCCAGCATTTTTTATGCTTGTTTTGTGTCTCTAAAATTGAAAAGTAGAAACGACCAACTGGTGGCCTAGCGGTATCGGTCTCATACTTCCCAAAGGGAGGTCAGGGGTTCAAGTCTCAGAAAAGACAAGTGTGTGTGAGTACCAACTAGGAAAAAAAAAAAAATCTATGAAATGTTTATGAGACCAACTATACATTGTGGGAGAGAATGTTGTGCTGTTATTAACAACAAATTCATAAAATAAGTGAGGCCGAAATGCAATGCTTAGATGGACCATAAATGTGTGGCAAGACAAGAAAGGATAATAGTAGAATTGAGAACATTCATGATACGATTGAAATAGTAGTTCATCGGAAAGAAAGTCAATTAAGATAGTTTCGCCATGATCAATAATTGTACCATCGAGAAAGAGAGGCAACATCATTGTTAATTGGTGTTGTTTATGCAAAGATGATTGTGAATCCGTGGATCACATTCTTTTGCATTGTCCTGTGGCGTTTGGTTGTTGGAGTTTTATTTTCAGCATATTCGGCATTTTTTGGGTAATGCCTAAGCACTCCTCTCAATTGATTAACGCTTGGAAAAGTTGTCCTGTTAAGAAACAAGCTCGTGCTTATTGGAAGATTGTTCCTCATTGTGTCTGGTGGTGTTTGTGGCGTGAGAGAAATAACAGATCCTTTGAAGGAAAAGAATCGTCCTTAGCTAATTTAAAAATTCATATTCGTCGTTCTTTATTCTTTTATGTTAGAGGAAGTACATGCTCCTCGATTGATGATTTCTTTGATCTCTTGGATTCTATTGCTCCTTAGATCTTTTCTCTTGTATTAGGGATGCGTTCCCCTTTTGAACGTTTTTCTAATATATTTTTACTTATCAAAAAAAATAAATAAATAAAATAATTGTACCATCGAGGAAAACTGATGTGGTTCTCATTGAGGTTAATCCCAGTGGAAGGATTAGATTGAAGTTAATATGAGTTGAGATGGTAAGGAAAAATCAGAAAATGTGCATTCGACTGAAATTATGGTCTTAGAGTTAAATGATGAAACGAGATAAATGTATACAACTTTAAATAGTTGGAACTTGACTTTATTAAGTGGATAGTATTGTTTTTGAATTTTTCTTAAGTTCCTTAATGAATGCATCAAGCACTCATTTGATTAGTTTATGGATCAGTGGATGATAGTGCAAAGGTTTAGGTAAACATTCTTGCATATGAAAATATACTTTGAATTCCCATGAGCATGCGGGCTTATTTATTTGTAAAGTTGCATTGTGGGTTGTCCAGGCATGTTTAATCAGTTTATAAATCTTGCTTATATACTTTGCAAGCTTTTTTCTTTGTTGGTGTCATCATGAAAGTAATTCACGGTGTAATCATTCCTGAAGTTTCTTGCAATAAAGAATAGCATAAATATTCTTTCATAATTCTAAGCTTGGGAGCTTATTAATAGGTGGAAAGTGGCTTGATTACAACTGGTGCATCAGTATGGGTCCAAGGGCTTATCGTAAAAAGCCAAGGATCAAAGCAGAAAGTAGAATTGAAGGTTGATAAACTTGTAGTGGTAAGAAATTCTTGTTATTCTCATCAAACTGAGCAATTTCTTTGTATCAATTTAAATAGTTTTGCTCTTCATATATTGCAGCTTGAGGTAATTTTGCATAGCTTAATTTGGTTCTGTTTCAATCTATTGGCATGTGCATCTTCTGTCTGCTCTTCATCTGTTGTTCTCAGACTATATGGCTTTTCTTGCTTATCAGTCATTTTAATCTGTTTATAATTTCGGAGTTCTCCAAGAGTAGCAATTTTTCTAATTATCATTTAGTTGTTCCTTTACTTTGTGTGTGTGTGTGTGTGTATATGTATATCCGCCTGCACGCGCCCCCCCCCCCCCCCCCCCCCCCCCCCCCCCCTCTTTTTTTCCTTTCTATTTTTGAATGATCTCAGTAATGCCAAAGCCTTGGGACACAAAATTTATCTCCAATCTGTCGCTTACGTTTCCTGTGGTTATCTGACCAACTTTAATATATTGGTCTACAGCCACTCACTCTCCTTTAACTACTTCAACACATTCTCCCTCTTTGGCTGAGATTCCTTACTAGCTTTTGCATCCATCCTTCTTGTTGTATTCATGGACTTCTAAATCATACTTACCGTCAACAATATGATGATTTTTTTGTTTTTTTAATGAAATTTGACGTCACTGAAGCTGGAAAAGCATGTTGGATAGGTTAGCCAGAGGCAGAAGAGGTTCTTGGAGGTGGATTCAGGGTCTAAGATTTCCTGTGGTTAAAATCATAACCTGATTGTTATATATTTTTCGAGTTGGCATATAAATCGGTACGCTTGTCCAAAATAAAATTTGCTCCTCATTTTTGTTATAATGTTAAAAAATAACCCAAATATATAATGTGTTTTTTACATTTCCCTGACTGAGTTAAAAACTGTGTGCCTCTATCCTTCCTCTTAAATTTTATTTGTAAGAGTATTGGAACTTTTCTTTAAACATTTCTATAATTAAGCAGTGTTCTAGAAGAATTCTACATCGTGGATATTGCATGCGATAGGGTCATAGGGGACTTGCGCAGGCTGAATCTTACACGTGACACACTCACCCGAGTTCATGTAGCATTCATACAAAGTGACCCTTGTTTTTCTCAAGCAAGGAATGTTGATGCTCAGAGAAGTTTTCATTAGGTTATCACTTAAGAGGCATATAGGTAGGTGGAAAGGGAATAATTTAGCCACCTAGTAGAGGCATGTCATGGTATCGACATTTCAGTTCAAGGACAATGATGAATGTGAGTATTTGGACCTATGGAAGATGAAGAGTGTAAGCAATATTTGGGATAGCCAGAAAGTCTCTCCTACCCTTCCCTTCTCTCTCTCTCTTTGGGTGGGGGAGAGGGGGTGGTAGACTTGAAGATGATTGAATTTCTGATCTAATTAAGACAGTTATTGTTCTCTATCTCTATCTCTCTCTCTCCTTCCTGTTTTCCAGTTTTTTTTTTTATTCCTTATCCTATCTCTTCTTTTCTTATCTTTCCATGTTCCCTTTTCTCCATTTCTCTCCTTCGATGTTTGGGATGCCTTGAAGTTATTGTTGCACTTGTCTCTCGTATATTCTCTCTCTTTTTCTCCCTCATGCGTCTGTTTTCTTGTATTATAAAACTGAAATTAGCATTGCTTATTTGCCAACAACACATTTTAGCAAATTATTGCAAGGGCTGGATTATATCAACCCACTTATTTGTATTCGTTCCTTGCTCGAACCACTATATTACAATGGCTTTGGCAATTTGACATTGTTATACTTTTATGAGATCTACTCAACAAAAAGCCTTGTTTCAACTATTTGGGTTGGCTACATGAACTTTTTTTTTCTCCATTCTTTTATTTTGGTTAGTTCCTTTTTATCACTCTGCTCTATTAGGGGCTGATGCTTAAATAACATCATAAATTCTTGTTTTACTTTTCTTTCCTTTTCTTTTTTCTTTTTCTTTTTTATTTTTGTTTGGCAGCAAAAAGAAAGTTGTAATTCTTCTATACAGGCAAATGTTATACATAAATATCATTGTTTTTCGTCCTTTCGTGGCTAGAATTAAAATTTATAATGGACTCATTGATTTTTAATCTTTAATTTTATGATGCAGTTCCCATTGTTGGTTAATGTCTCATCCCTATGTTGACATATAAATTCTAGGCATGGCAAAAGTAAAATAAAAAAATTAAAAAAAAACACTGTCAGTTGTATCATAATTTTTGTGCTAATAGTGATCATTTGCAAATTTTGAACTTATCGTGTATATTATTCTTCTTACAGGTTGGCAAGAGTGATCCTTCCTTTCCCATCCAAAAGAAAAGAGTCAGCAGAGAATTTTTGAGAACGAAGGCTCATCTTCGTCCTAGAACAAATACTTTCAGTGCGGTATGATTCTGCTTCTTGTTTGGTACACATCACATATTTTCTTCTGTTAATTCCTTTTAAGTATATTTGAATCAGTTAGGTTTGGATCAAAATTCTTTTGTTATATGGTCCTTGGTACAAAAAGTCTTGGTTCAATTGGTTGAATTTGCAATATACACTATTGAGTTTGTAAAAGTCTTATATTCACCTCACCTGGATGTTAAAAATAGTGAAAGGCTCTTGAGAAGATTGGTCTGACTTGACTTGTGGAGCTAATGTAAATTTTAGATAACATACTGGTTACATGCAAGGAATTTATATTTCTTTCACTGTGCCTACATATAAAAATAAGTGCCCTGAATCTGTATTATTTTTATTATTGCAGTTCTATTTTACATATATTTATTTTTAATTTATATTTTTTCATGTTCATAGCTTCATTTGTTTAATCACTTCAATTGATCACTCTCTTTTTCTTCAGTACTAGAGCTAGATCAGCACTTATTCTCTTTTATTTGCAACAATAACCATTATAGGAAATGAGTTTGTTTTTCTGAAAGGAATTTGACATAAAAAAGAAGTGGTTTGTTCTATGGTGGTTTCAATTGTTTTAGAGAATTTTATATGTGCTATTAAAACTGCCTTATGAAACAGAATTTGGTTCAATGATTGGTTGAAGCTGGACGACAGAACCTCTTGATGTTCATAGCCAGACATCTTATATATATTTTTTAATCTTCACTTATTTTTTGGCATCTAAGTGCATATAAGGAATTCAAATACGACCTTATTCTGAGTTAAAATTTCCAAATTGTTAAGGCAGCTCTATGTCTAAAGTGGTCCAAAATATTATTAACTTAGACAGCACCTTAAAGAGCCTTCATGTTGCAGGGGGAATGATAAAACATCCCAAAATCAGTTGGGACCAAAACCACCAATTCAAACATTTTTGTCTAATTATGTGGGATCCACTTTTAATACCATTTGAAGTTGAATCCAAATAATCTACTTTTCTGAGCTAGGAGCTCTTAGGATTTCTGTTCGAGGATTTAAATATTAAAAGTTACATCTTTAAGAGCTTTAGATTTTAGAGTAGATGGTGGTTACATAGTATCGAAGCAGGCAAGGTCTGAGTTTGAACCTCTTTATCAGTCTGATAATTAATATTGAAACACGTGTTGGATAAAAAGGCCACGTGTGAGGGGGCATGTTAGAGTTACTTGCAGTATGCCTGTAGACACCTAAAATCATATCTGAATCTGTTAATGGATGGATCTTCACTCTGATAATCCAATTTGGCTATGTACATATAAAGAAGATATTCTAGGGATTATTGGATTGTTAAAATGTAGCCGCGCATCCCTAAGCATGGTAATATACATAAAACATACATATATAAATATGCATAGATAAATATACAGACACACAATGCATCAACTGTGAATAATTTGTTGATGTAAAATCAGTCAACTATGAAAAAATGAAACGAAAGAGTTCTCAAAGAGAGGGAGAGAAATGAAAATCTAGAACCTGTTCATATTTGAATTTCGGAAGTAAGCAAATAAATTGATCCAAAATTGATCTTTAACATGAATATGCAAGAATGAGCGAATGATACAAAATTGTTTAAAGTAGGAATCGTTTTGCGATCTAAGAGAAATTGGATATGATTTTTAGAGCTCCTATATATATATATATTGTGTGTGTGTGTGTGTGTGTGTGTTTGTGTGTGTGAGAGAGAGAGAGAGAGAGCAAGTCCACAGAACCTACTATCTGCGGTGAGCCGGTGACCAATCGCTGGATGTTAATGGCAAACCTTAGTTAGAACCTTCAGATTTCGACACTAAAAACAAGAAATCCTGAGTTTATCTTCTCCTGTAAACATGGTTGGACTTTTAGACTGCTAGTTATATAGCATTGAAAAGAAGTTACTCTCTATATACTAATCATTTTATTACTCGACCCTAAAAACAAGAATCTCAAGTTTATCTTCTCATGTAAACATGGTTGGACTTTTAGATTGCTATAAAATATGAATATGATCACTAATAGGCCTATTATGATTTTTTTTTTTTTAAATGAATATGATCGCTAATAGGCCTACTATGATTTTTATTCCCCCTGTTCAGTAGGTAAATCACACACCTTTGCCCATTCCCATTGGGGACTTAAACCTTTGAGCTTCCATTTGGAAGAAGGAAATACCACTTCCCTTAATGATGCCTACCTACTATGATGTTAAATAATGGAAATTGACATATTTGATGGGTAAATTATTTCTTGCATTGTTGTCGTTGTAATAACTTATGTGGAGAGTTAACTTCCTTTGATCAATAATCTAGTTATTTTATATATATATTTTTTGGTGCAAGATGGTTTTAGGTTGCAAGGGTGAGGAATGCTTTGGCGTATGCTACTCACAAATTTTTCCAAGAAAATGGCTTTGTCTGGATCTCAAGTCCAATCATTACTGCTTCGGATTGTGAAGGAGCTGGTGAACAGTTTTGCGTAACCACTTTGGTATGGTCTGTCTTAACGCAATTTCCCTCATTCCTTGGATAATGTCTCATTCATCTTTTATGTTTGACCATTCAAACATGATACTACATTTCTGCATGGTTGCATTTTTTGAGTTGCGTGCGTGATGCTGACTTTCGATACCTCCTCTTTGACTTCTTTTATGCCAATTGCATCTTGAATGGGTTTCATCGGAGGATATGCATCCTCTCATATCTCTTCTTCCTTATCTTTTTTCTTGTGGGGTTTTCACTGGTTGTTTTTGGGATTAGATAACATTTTCATGGTATTTTGATTTATATCTATATCTATATATATATATTGACGATGATGGTGGTCTGGACCTCTTAGAGCACCCCATAATCCACCACCCCAAGTCCCGCATGCACCAGGCAAGTACTGAGAAAATTCCTTGGGGGTGGCCCCAAGGGGATTCAAACTCCCTTTTTCGCTTTATAATTTTGAAAGCAGAATTCACTAAAGCTGCAATTTTTGTGGATTAGTATCCAGAATGGGTCTTGTTGCAGGTTACATCTGATATGCTATAGACTAGAGAATATAGATTTCTATAGGCTTTTGATGATGTATGGGTGTGTTTATTATATTTTCTTCTCTCTTCTGTTCTTTTATATACTAGAAATTAAATGTATATACTTAATGGGCATGCAGGTTTTATAATAGTATACCAGTTTCCCTTTTTCCTCCATTGAGTGATACTTTTGTATTTCTCAAGGACAATTTCTTGTTCTCAATTCTGTGTTTGTTTTGTTGCCCGCTTTGAAATGGGTGGCTTAAAAAATATAAAAACATTTTTTACTTGCACTAATGGTGCAGTGCAAAGAGATTTTTTGCAATTTCAAAATGATAAGCATATGGTTAGCAGTGTAATCTGGTCGAATTACTTTACTAATTACTATTGCATTCAGTTGCCCTGTACATCTTGTGGTAGTTCTGATTCCTCCTCCTCCTTTTCTTCTAATTTTAACAGATTCCAAGTTCTGGAGAAGCTACAGATTCTACAGTGGATGCCATTCCTAAAACAGAAAATGGCGTCATTGATTGGTCACAGGTCAGTCTGTTGGTCTGTTTGGTGCAATTATTGTATTCTTTTCCCACATTTGTTTTACTTTTTTATTTTATTTAATTTTTTACTTGTTTTTCACCTAAACCTTTCCTTATATCTTCATCTATATTGAATGACATTGAAAATATTAGTTAGACTTTAAAGTAAGGAATTTTTTAATTTTTTTTTTTCTTAGTTGGTACTCACACACACGCATGCCTCCACCGAGACTTGAACTCCTGACCTCCCTTTGGGAAGTAGGATCCTGGTACCGCTAGGCTACTAGCCTGTTGGTTAAAATAAGGATTTCGTTGTTTCTCTTACTCTATTCAATTTCCAAATATCGTGGGCAGGGTTGATGAATCGAGGAGTGGCCCATTTTGCAGTTTAACATCCAGTTAGGATTTTTTGGGAATTGGAGGACAAAGGAGCACGGTGGACCGTGTCATTGAAATCACTTGCTTTGCTTGATTTCCATATTCGACTAATATAATGTTGAAAAGAGTTTGAATAATGTTTGCGTGGCGACCTTGTGGGCTGGTGCAAGTGGCACTGGCATGCTACCACACTGGGCGAGTTACAGATACACAATCCCACATTGCCTGGGTGCACACTGGGCGAGCTACAGATGTACAATTCCACATCGCCTGGGTGTAAAAAAGAAAAGTGCTATATATGTAGGATTTGTACACTCCAATTGGTATGAGGCCTTTTGGGGTAAAATCCAAAAGCAAAACCGTGCGAGGTTGGCCCAAAGCGGACAATATTGTACATGTGCTGGAGTGGGTCGTTACAAATGATATTAGAGCTTGACCCAACTGAAAGTGTGGCCAACAGGGACGTAGGGCCCCTAAGGGGAGGTGATTGTGATGCAGACAAAATTTGAAATTCTGATTCTGCCTGCATTAGATTGTGGTAACCTTGTGAGCGGGTGCAAGAGGCACTGGCAGGCTACCACATTGAATAAACTACAGATGCACAATCTCACATCGCCTGGGTGTGAAAAGGGGAAGTGCTATATATGTAGGATTTGTACACTCCAATTGATATGAGGCCTTTTGGGGTAAAACCCAAAAGCAAAACCGTGCGGGCTTGGGCTCAAAGCCGACAATATTGTACCATGTGGTGGAGTGGGTCATTACAACTTGCCTTTGCATGAGCAAGAGAAGCAGGGTTATCCTGGATGGATGTACATCCTCCTGCATCAGCTATAAACCAACAATATTAAGCTGCCACCACTTTCCGAAAATAAAAAAATATTAAGCTGCCACCAAAATATTAGATTTTTTTTATAAAAAAATTATTTTTGCTATGAAATTCAAAGATTAACAAAGAACTATTTTTGGCTGGTTATTGTCATCATTGAAGCATATTCAGTTTATCAAATCATCATTTGTACAAAATGAGTACGAAACTTGTAGTTGCGAAGTGCTATTGATACAATTTTCCTTTCTTTCTTCATGTGCCAGGATTTTTTTGGGAAACCAGCGTTCTTAACCGTTTCTGGCCAACTTAATGCTGAAACATATGCTACTGCTCTTTCTGATGTATATCTTCTTAACCCCGTTTTGTCTTGAAATTAACTTAATGGTCTATAATTGTGCTAGTAGCCTAGTTCTTTGTATTTATGTTTGATTAGATTACTTTTTCCAGGTGTATACCTTTGGTCCAACTTTTCGAGCAGAAAATTCTCACACTTCTAGACACTTGGCTGAATTTTGGGTATTGTTGATTGTTAAACGGTTGAATTATTTTGATATTCAATTCTTTTCTTTTTTCTCTCTCTCTCCTTTTTTTTTTTTTTTTCCTAAAATTTAGGGCTTCATGTTTCATGTGACGTGAACAATAATCTCACATTATTTTTCCTTTTATCTAAGATGATTGAACCAGAACTTGCATTTGCTGACCTGAATGATGACATGGCCTGTGCAACTGCCTATCTCCAGTATGTAGTATGTTACCTTTTCATTTCTCTAATCAATTCACAATGCCATATATTCTGGCACTTGTTTTCTCATTTCGTGTGTATTTTCCTTGTGATGGTGGGCTCCTGGAGTAATATAAACTTTTATGCTTTGAAGGTAAAATATATCCTTGAAAACTGCAAGGAAGATATGGCTTTCTTCGACACTTGGATAGAGAAAGGAATTATCAACCGACTGAGTGTATGATTTTACAGCGTAACTTTTCCTCAACACTGTCACATAATTAAACATTTTCCAGCAATCTTGTATTATTTCTAGGTCTTTATTTTCCCCCCTAGACCGTGTTTTTCAGCATCATAGATACTTTTGTGTGTGCGAATTTGTGATTTTTCTTAATTCATGTGTCCCAATCAACAGGATGTGGCTGAGAAAAACTTTGTGCAGTTGACTTACACGGATGCAGTCGAACTTCTTCTCAGAGCAAATAAGAAGTTTGAATTCCCAGTACTTGACTTTTACTTGTTTTTCGTACCTCTACAACTAGAGTTGGTTATCTATTCAATTTTTTTTTTTTTTTGAATTAAATGCAGGGGGTTATTAATGCCATATTCTAAATGTTTTTTCCCTGTTGAATTTGTGATAATCAATTCAAAAAATCAGATTATCTGGAAATCTAGTTTTACTGAATGGTCTTGCAGCATGATCAATAACTAGTTTTACTGAATCGTCATATTTGATACTATGACGATTAGAAGAACTACATGCCTGCCTTTATTTTTAGAATTTAAATTGAAAATTTCTTGATGAAGTTATTAATATATAGAAATTTAAAAGTTACACTACTCAATTTTCGATTTTTACATTTAACAGGTGAAATGGGGATGTGACTTGCAAAGTGAGCACGAACGTTACATCACTGAACAGGCCTTTGGTGGATGCCCTGTAATAATAAGAGACTATCCAAAGGTATGGATTTTAACTTTTATTTATGTCGACAATAGAAAATTGGTAGCAGAATGATTTGAAGTTTCTTTATATGAAACTTTCAGGAGATCAAAGCATTTTATATGCGGCAAAATGATGATGGAAAGACTGTTGCAGCCATGGATATGTTGGTTCCTCGGGTACTTCCCGCATTCATTTTTAAGTTGTTGCCACTTCAGACTTGCCTAGAAGATAATGACTAATAAATAAATGGAAAAATTGCCGGAAAGTCCTACTTTTTCTTTTTAATGACCAAGAAATCCTATCAATTTTTAATGTGACTATTAGGTCCTGCTTTTTGGTAATGGTTTCCATATTAGTTCTAAATATCGCAAACTTCCAACTTTACGCTTCATGATTTGTAATTTATATACTTTTCTTTTTATTGAAAATTCGTAGTCAATTTTATTCTCGAAAATAGTTTCTTAATTTTTATCAAAAAATTTGAATACATTCCTTATATTTTTGGAAAGTAGACTAACTATTTAAAAGTAAAAAATTTATAAATTGATTAAAAAAAAAAAAAATTCCAACTGCTGAGAAAGCATTTTGCATTTTCAAATAGTTAAATAAAAAAATAGCTTGAAGAACAAATCAATTTCTGGACAAAAATTATAGTTGCCAAATTTACTCTAATTTAGTAATTTAAGAACGGAATAAACGGAATATTGAGAGGTTTAAAGTTTATGTGAGAGAATGTTTTGAAAGTAGGACTTAATGGTGTTATTGAAACTTTATAGGACTTATTGGTCTTTAGAAGAAAAAAGTAGGATGTATCGATAATTTCCCTAAATAATTTTATTTGATTCATTTCTATTAGTGGGGCTGAAGTTAGAAGGACGTAGAATCATATCAAATATTTGATCTGCAATTAAATATATGATACATCATGCATACACATTATTTATCACTTCCCCGACTCAACTAAAGGACAAATAGTGAATTAAATTATACATAAAAAAAGGGATTTATATGTATGCATATACACATTATGTAATTATGCATGTGTTATGCACTTGTGGAACGTGTGTGTGTGTGTGTGTATCTGCTGTAATTTATTAAAGAACTCTCCTCATGGATGTACAGGGTGAATTGAATAGATAACCATGCCAAATTTTTTTTTTTTTTCGGTCGAAGAGAATAATTTCAAATAATTCATTCCTGGCTAATTCATCCACTAGTTCTGTTACTCCGGATCCTCACGGTAAGGTAACCGAAAATGTATGAAGGGAAGGGAAGAGGGATGATATCATAAATTGAGGTTCATGTGCCTTGTGTTTGCCTTATGGGTTTACAAATTAGGAGTTTTGATCTATTGGTGCTATTCTTTATCAACTTTTTTCTCTCGTATATAAATTAGTTGTATCTATTGCCCTCTAATGTTTTCTCTGCTTTGTTATGTTTCTAAGATGTGATCCCATGGCGTTCTAGCCACTTCTACACTATTTTGCATACGAAACATGGTTATCCTGACCCACAACTTAATACAATTGAAACCAATTCATCAAAGCCTTATCCTACTGCTTGGGGTCCACAATGGATCTCTCTCTCTCTCTCTATACCTTATGCTTCAAAGTTGCTCTTGTTTGTCAGGTTGGTGAACTTATTGGTGGAAGCCAAAGAGAAGAACGTCTTGACTATTTGGAAGATCGCTTGGATGATTTAAAGCTCGACAAGAAAAGCTTTTGGTGGTATATTGACCTGCGGCGCTATGGTTCAGGTCAGCCTTCTTTCTGCTACCCAACTTTGTTCTCTCATGTTGTAGTTCCTGCACATCAATCTGTTTGGAAGCATTACTTGCCTTTTGCGCCTAGTTGCAAAATGGCTTTCAGAGCCATCATGGCATGTGGCCTTTTCTCTGGTCTTTAAATTATAGTCTCCGTGCAAAATCATGCCTTTTTAAGCTACTAGTTGATTTAACACTCAAAACTAGGAATATTATGCCTTTTTAAGCTACTAGTTGATTTAACACTCGAAACTTGTATGTAATTCCTGACAATAACGGAGGCAGCCAGATACTGTAGTTTGGCGAGATCTTCTATATTTCAAGTGATTTGGTAGTTTTCTTTTTCTCTAAATTGTCAAAAAGAAATTCCTTTCTTTCCACTGGAGTTGACTTCCTGGAATTTTTTCGATTATGATTTATGTTCTCTTGTTTTCCTTCTGCCAGTGCCTCATGCGGGCTTTGGACTAGGTTTTGAAAGGCTTGTGCAATTTGCGACTGGAATAGAGAATATCAGAGATGTAATACCTTTCCCTCGGAGCCCTGGATCAGCTGAATTTTGATGCTTGACCTCAGTTGTGCACTAAATTTCCGTTCCAACTTTTTTTACTTATTCATTTTTTCTCATTGGATTTGTCCTCGCAATATGGTTTTCTTTTTATCCTAGCTTTTGTTTCAGGCGAGTGAAAGTTGTTTAAGGCTCAAGGTGGCTAGCTTCCCTTAAATTGGAACCACAACATTTTATGTAGAGTTCATAATTAAATTAAAATATTGTATATTATGTAATGGTAGTAATTTACTTTTTGTTTCGTGTACACTTTACATTGGATTACATCGTTTGCAAAATTTACCGTATGGTTACGACTGAAAACTTCCACATGACAGCATAAAATTTTGCATTTTGAGAAGCATTAATACGCATTACAAAGGGGAAAAAACTACGTATATACAATTGTTTGAGTTTATCCACTGAAATCTTTAGGAAGATTTCCGCAATTGTTCGAGTTATTTATTTATTTATTTTGGCATCAAAGGTTGAAGGGTCTGATCAAAGCATTTTTTTATGTTCCTGATTTAGCTAAAGTATTGTTGAGCAGACGAAGATGAGGATGAGGAGTCTGGTTGAAAGTTATGACTGGGCTTTGCAAAGCAGTGCATTAGTTATGCTTTAAAATTGTCTTACATGCGCAACCATACCAATGTTCTCTCAGAATTTGTTGTTCCGCCGTTTAAATCAAAACCGTTATTTATTATTATTATTTTTTTGTGGTATCACTATCAGTTTTGGTCTGGAACTGAAATGATCTTGTTCAATCACAAATTGCATGCGATATGCAAATAAACGGATTAATTTTGTTGTATGCGGTCTTGAACCATTAATAAATTCTCAAAAAAAAAAAAATTCTTGAAAACTCATCCTTTTGTTTTGATCATAACGAAATCAATTGAATTTTTCCCCAACAAAAGCATAATTGTGCACGTTAGTGCTGAGAAGGCATCTGCATGATTAATGGGGAGAGTGTTTAGTGTGCCGGAGAGAGTTTGAAGGTTCTAAAATTTTGAAGATATTGGATAGATTGTAAATATTTGTAGTGTGTAGAGAATTGTTTAGAAGAGCATAGAGTTCTAAGAGTTGTATGACATTATGCATACGATATTTATATATGAAATATGAAATTCTGGAAGGTAGACGGAATGTCTAAATGGAAAAAAAAATTCATTTGTAACACCGTAATAGAGGGCAGAAGTATGTTGGCAAAGTGAGCTAATACAATTTTCTTGAAAACCGCCTCAACATAATTAGAACTTATAAAGCCCTTGAATTCAATTAAAAGAAAAAAAAAAACAAAAAAAAAGGCATCTTATTCTTTTCCATCTTGATACACTTGCTTCTTTTTCCCTCTAGAAGTCTTTCAAAGTATTTCTTCCACTTCTTCAAGGGATTTTACTTTCCGCAATAAATGAACAAATGACTGTACATCGATGCCTACCCTCAGCTTTCTTTGTTTTTATAGTAAAAACACCAGCTCCTTGAGCATCAGACGGTGTTTAACTCCTCAAGATTAAACGAAACCTATCTCTAACAGTAAACATTTATGTAAATCAACTGCCTTTCAAATTACAACGAAGGGAAATATAAAAAATAAAATAAAATAAAAAAGAAATTTCTTGGTTTCTTCCCTCAAACCAATCTTGTTGCTTACCATCACTTTGCATTGGGAGGCACCGGGGCATGATAGTTGAATATACTAGTTGTGGGGGAGGAGCAAAACTTGACATTTACATCTACTACCTACTTAAAGTTCCACTTCATGAAGGTCATCCCCAAAACTGCCACCATTCATTGGCAGGTGGGAAGTGCCACCAGGCATTAACGATGATGGGGGCATACGCAATACTTCCCCCAGAGGTTTCAATTCCGTCCTTTGTGGAGGAGAAAATGCATCATTCATGCTTCCACTCCACGACGCTGTACGTCGTGAATGAGATGGAAAGGGGCCATTGCCATTCGTCATCACCCCTTTCTTTGAGATGTTGTCCATGCTTGGAAACCTTTGCATTGTCATTGATGATGAAGGTGATGGAGACTGGAACGAGTCATTCATAACAGATGTGGAAGGATTTTCGTTAACTGCAGCAACTTGTTGCACACTACTATCTGAGATAGTCTCAAATGCCTGTTCACTAGAGGATACTGGTGTGGGAACAAAAAATTTTGGATTGGCACTGCCAGCGGGTTTAACAGATGGGACAGGAGGTGATTGAAACAATTTTGTTGAATTTCCACCACCTTGGTTGAAAGTGTCAACATACCTGCCAAAAGATTAAACAAAAACGTGTCATTAGGTTTTGCATATTAATAGAACTTCCAAAATACTTCTGCAACAAGCAAGGACCAGATTGTGAACTCCAGATAGTCCTCCAACCTTGTGGTTGAATCAGCCTGGCCAGAATGCAGAAGACACAATTAATGCATTTTTCTTCCCTTACCAGTCTATTTTTTGAATCCTTATTTTGCTCTAAATTGTCCAAAAACTTCTGCCAAACTAACCCGTTTTTAGGGATCTATCTTAATTTACTTGTCAACATTCAAAACCATGCAAATAGTCCAAATGGCTGAGCTGATAACAGAACTTTTGCCACAGCCCCCGATCATTATAATTGTTATGATGCAATGAGAAAAGTCCAAAGACTTGATGCCAAATGCCAACATGGTTTATTAAATGATCCATAATGTCTCTGAATAGGTCCTTTCCCATCTTTCCTTTTCCCTTATTATACATATATAATATAACTATTGGAGAAAGATCACTTCCCACATTTCTGAAGTTATGACACTATTTTATTTTATTTTGTTTTTTTTTTTTTTTTTGAAGTCAGTCAGCTAACTACATTTACCCCAAATAATAGTAATAAAATCAGCTAACTACATTTATCCAAAAAAAGAAAGTCAGCTAACTACCAAGTTGTCACCATTTTCTCCTAGAAACCTCTAAAATTACATGCATCAACCTTCAGATGATTACTACAACTACGGGTCCTCCTGCTACTATCACTAACTATACTCTAGATAATGGAAAGGTGAAGGTTAGGTAGAACAAACCCATAAACCTCAACTATTTTTCGCAGCAACATTACCAGCTGTCCAATAACTAGCCAATTATGCAAAACTTTATACCACAACCCTCTTCAGACTATCCAATGCCTATATTTTGCAGAGAACTTATGTCACATGCCGACATCACAAGAAAGAGAAAATCTTTGAAGTTACCTTGATTGGAGACCCATCCGTCCACGAGAAGAGAATTGGTTTGAGGTGGGTGGAATTGGTGGGATTCCAGAACTATGTTCCAGAGGAACTGGGCTTTTAAATTCTGGGCTTCCATTTCCAGAAGACCCTTCAATTTTTAACGCACTTTTCAGGTTGTAATCGGATGTTCCATTCTGGAACGATGTAGTTGGTGGAGGTGGCAGGGCTGTTTCTTCAGCAGGGAGTTCAGCCCCTTCCTCTACCCATCTCTTAAGCTTTTCATCATAATGAAATTTATTCTTTTCACCCAATTTCGCCTTCAATATCAACACAATGAAGAAGAAAAAGTGAATAGGGAAACCAAAAGAAACTCTTTGAATTTCTTCCGACACAAAAATAAAATGAAAATCCTTATGTAAAGAAGTTACTAAAGAAAAGACCTGCTTATCCTGGCGGGGCTTCAAGACTAATCCGACAGTCTTTTGAAAGAGCTGTGATCCGAAACTAAAGCGACCAAGGCGAGACGTTCCCCCAGAGATTGCTTTGCCTTGTGCATCAGATGAGGTTGCTTCTTTTGATAAATCAACCTGATCCTATATCAAGTTGGCAATAAATCATATTTTCCACCAAGATCATGAGACCGCACAAAACAAACAATAGGTGATGAGAATTGTATTTCTTTGTAAGGACAGAAATCACCAACCTGTCTTGGAGTTCTACCAAAGTCTGGCTCTGAAACACTTCTGTTATGCTTTGCTTTTCTGTTGCCATCAGCTGTCCATTCACTTATGGGCTCCATCGATGATGAAGGCATTAATGATGACATTGCCATAGTTGATTGACTAGTTGATACTCTGGGTCCCATAGTTTGGTGATAATGGTCATTACCCTGTGCACTGCCGTGTGATGTAGAAGGCACAGGTGGAGGTAGTCCCCCAACGACACGGTGAGCGGTGCTATCAAAAAGATTGAGCAATTTACCCACTAATTTTGCTGGAGCCAAGTTTGTAGAGTATCCAGCCTGCAAACATAAAGCCTGCTTAGAAAGATAACAAAAGGTAACAACATTTTTAGAAAGATACAAATTGGAGGATATAGAGACACCTGTTGGTGAGTTCTGATCCTCTCCTCGAGAGATGACACTAACTGTCTCCACGTCTCCACCTCAGGTGCTCGACCAGTCTTTAGAGATTTTAATACTGCTTGACAGTACCTGAATTAAACTCACTATGCTAAGAGAACCAACAGGCTAAATAGCATTAATCATTGGAAAAGATAGGTTTCACGTACGTACTTCAATGACTCCGAAACTTTTCCAACTTCAGCCAACATGTGCGCATATATAAGCTTATATGGCTGAAAAGGTAACAAGATAAACTGAGAGTTTCCAAGCACCTTTGAGTATTCATATAACTCTGTCCTCTGTCCAAAATACCCAATTGGCCAGTTTAGTAATGTTCCTTTACAATCTACAACTAACATATCACAGAATGATTTACATTCATCAATTTCAAACAGAATTCATATGGGACTAAGGCAAAAATGACGATGACGACAACTTTCAAAGGGAAACAAAAAACAGGCGGTTTTTTTTTTGTTTCTTTTCAATTTATACACTTGTCAAAAACAACATGGCTGGCTTTCTTTCTCCTCCAAAGTATCACAGAGAGAGAGAGAGATAGAGAGAGTAAAGGAGCCAAGCTAGGATCAGCCTAGACGACTCGTGATGCGAATTTACTCAATTTAGGCTCAGCTGGGTTTTTTCACTACTTGCACTTGCAGTCAGAATGTTCTTTGCACAAAATAGTATATGCAGAAGACAGCTTCATCATTAGGATTCTTTTTAATCATTCAAGGTTTTTCAAGCACCCTACCTAAATGGTCTTAACTCTTAACCATGTTTCACTATCACTTCCCGCATAAGTGCCAAATAGTGGAGGGTTTGCTGATGCTCAGCCTGTCAACTAGAAGCAAAGCATGGAAACCCAACCATATTGAAACCTTGGCAAACATTTCCATCTATTGTGAAACTTTTTATTGTTTTTCTGACAATCACGTCCCAAATGGGACTTGAACCCGAATGTCTACTTCTGGAGGTGGCGGCAGATACCACTCAAACTAACAGTTACTGGTCTCCTATAACCGAAAGAAACCTTGTGAACAAGGAAGAAAGGTGAATCATTTAAATTTCCTCTCTGCGCGTTTAAGTGCTCAACACGACTTGAACCATAATTTCCACTCTGCACGTTTAAGTGCACAACACTGCCTAAACCATATAGTTTAAGTCATTTTGGTAGCGTTGGTTATAATCATGTATATGTGAATCTTGGTAAATAACAAAATGAATGTTACTTGTAATTTTACTAGTTTTTCTATTTCTCCACAACTAAAAAAATAAATGTCAATTGTCACTCAAGTAAACAAAGTCTCATCCAACTACATGATAATCAATAGATTATTCACCATGTAAGTACGCACTATAATTGTTGATTATCTTATAATAGTGCATTTTTTTAGGCCTACCTCTCATGTTTTGAAAGTGTCAAGTGCTCACCCAGAGTCCATCAGGTTTTCAGAGAAGGTATCAGACCAAATCGAATTTTAAGAAGGCTTCCCCAGAAATAGAAAATGCATTACCACTAGTACTAATCATAATAATGACTAAGATTTGGCTAAGGTTTCAATAAATGGATCCAAGACTACCAAATCTTTTACTAGCGTTCTTTGCAAGAATATAGAGCAGGTCAAGACTGACTAACATATATATTTTTTCACGAAGATGACTGGTGGAGGTAGGTCCCAATGCCGATGACCTTAAGGTTATTACCCAAAAGAATATATATATATGCATGCATAAGTAGAGGGGATAGTTTACCAGGTAATGCATATTCCAGCTCAAATATGTTAATAGCAGAAACGAGAAGCATTACAAATCCACAAGATTAAAAAATAAATAACTAAATTGACATAGGATTGAATTTATGAGCATTTATAACAACATCAATCCAGCATTATAAAATTTTAATAAACCTTTCAAAAATCTCAATACCTTAATTATAATAATATAAACATAAGCTTAGATTACATTATTATATTTGATCTGAACGTTACAAGTATGACAAAAATCCACAAATAGAGTGTCCATCTCTTATATAAGGCTCCTATGAATACAAAAGCATATATTAATGCCTTATAAAATATGAACACCTAGGACCACATTATATAACATTATTTTGAGCTTCCAATTTTGAACATCTACGGCCACAAAGTATACAACATTCTCTTGACTTCCAATTTGGTTCTACAACCAAATTTCAGAGATACCTAATGCAGTCTATGCAAAAGTCCTCGTAGATTTTAATACCAACAATTAATGGGAAGAAGCATGGAATTAGATGGGAAACGTTTCAGTATTTCAAAACAAAAGAAAACATCCCACAGTGGCAGTTGAAGGCGACTTCCACTAAACAATCCTCAATTGAGTTACACGTGAAAATCATATAGAAACTATAAATGAAATACCACAGAAACACTGTACAAATATAAACAGGGGGGAGACCAAAATAAAATCGTTCAACCGCCAAAAGGAAATCATTTTTTAACAATGAGCCTACCGGATGTCTAAAGACTAAAACTAACCTCGCAAATTGTACACAGGCATGCACTAAAGGAGAACTAATAGTAGCAATATTTTCTTAATTTCTTTAGAAAGAAATAGTGCATGCAGACATAGGGAGTAAAATAACACCTGAATAGCCTCTGGACTAGCAAATGTTCGTGGGAATTTCCAATGGTCCGCACCAATAAGACACAACCTAGCACTGTCTGAATATGGCTCAAAGTTTGCCTCTGCAACTAAGTAGCAAATGTGTGCCGCAATAATCTGAATCATAATTTTCATTTATCCATTAACCCAATTATTGAATAAAAATTTCAGGAAAAAAAAAAAAAAAAGAAAAAGAAAAAAGAAATCAGTACAGTTAAGAACTCTTAAAGATATATAACATGCAGAACATACTTCACTTCTTTCTTTCCACAAGCAATCACCAAGATGAATGAGCACGAGTTCATCATCTTTCGTTCTGTTAGCAGTTATCAATGCCAAGTTCTCTTCCCAATTGTCTAGCATACCATTAGTGCCAAACTGAAGTTGTTAACAGGGAACCAAAAAAAAAAAAAGAGTTGAGCTTGCAAGGCCAAAGATATTCCTCAAAAATTGAAACAGAAAACAAGCATGGAAATAGGATCAAGGAACTATATCAATAATGTGCGCTACTGACAAGATTCGGTTAGAATCTTATTCTATATTTGAACTCTACAAACAAGGGCCACAAAATTGTGTCTTGGAAAATTTCAGATGATTCACACCATAGCACAAGCAAATTAGTGAGATAAAATTACAATATCAATATCTCAAATTGAACGGAACGCATCACCTGTGCAGGCTGTTGAGGCATGTTTAAAGCACCAGGAACTCCAGTATCAGTTGTAATGTCTGTAGAAAACACATCTGCTGGTTGACCAGCAATTAGTAGGCACAATGTCCGCAGAGGTGACCCTGATACTAGCTGGTAAAGTGCCATTTGCTTCACGGTATCAACATAATACTGCATGAACAGGCCCCCATCCGAACAAACAAAAAAAAATCGTAAAATGATAGTGAAAGAGAGTCAAACACTAGGTAAAATAACAGGGCACGGCATAGAAGGGATTAAAGACACAGCAAGACAAACCTGGTCACCAAGTTGTGCAGCAAGAACGAGTGCAGGCCCCCATAATTGACCATTTTGTGCACAAAGTAGAGCATCCTTCTTTCTACCAGCGACCAGAAGACTTTGTACCTCAGCAGCAGTTGCCTAAATATATATATTTTTATATCAATACCCATTACTAGAAGAAATATTGGCAATGAATTAGTTGTTAAAGGCATGCCTAGGCTGCAAAAAGCCTCAAGCTCGCCAAGGCCCACAAAGTGCCAACTTACAAAGGGATAGGCCCTTTCAGTCAGGTGCACAAAACATTCAGGATCACGCTTTTTAAGAAGCTGTAAATTTAAAAGAAATTGCGCTTTAATTTTCTAATTACTAAGCCGTACTTGTTTACTTTACTCTAATGACCATGCATTGACATGCTTTATATCATATCGTGATTTTATTATTAAAATCAGATTATTCAATTTAATCGAGTATTTCGCAGAACTCGTGAGCTTTAACTATTTGCATTAGATGCATCCAGTGTTTGATTTTTTTTTTTAAATGTATGAAATAGCATATGTGTAAAATTAACATGATTATAACTTTTTATTGTTGCATATTCATAATGGTATTTGACTTAGTCAAAGCATATATGTATCAGTGTATGAAGAAGATATATATATTATTATTATCTGAACCTCTAAGTTGCTATGCCAAAGAATCCATTTTATAAATAAATAAAATGAAAAAATGAAAAAAGAAAAAAGAAAGAAAGAAAGACAAGTTTTATGTTGCACATTTTGAATTGCTTCAGTATTATATTGGTTTAAGTAAATTAATATGTAATCTGAAAGGACTTATTTACATAGATTTAGCCAAAACATTGAATTGATATGCTGGAAAATTCCTTCATTTTGATCTCGATTAGTTTGTGTTTGATATGCATTTATATTACACATGCACCTCACACCTTTGTGCTTGCGCTTCAATTTCAAGAAATCTTAACGCCTTAGTATACTTTAAGCCTTAGATAACTATGCAAAGGATAAGTCTATGGATACCTGCATCTGTCCTTCTGATGGCAACTTCTGCAAGCAGTGGGCAAGAGCACCATATTGCGCACTATTTATCTTGGCAGATGCAAAAAGTCTGGCAACTGCTGATTCTGGAGCATCACTTTCCTATTACAGGAATATATATAAAAAATAATAATAAAAATAAAAAAAAAATAAAAACACAGAGTGCCAGAAGTGAAAATCATTAGACAGCTTACTTATCAAAAAATAAAATAAAATAAATAAATCAGTAGACAGCTCTTGATGAATGATGTTGCTACAGGAAAAAAAATCTTTTAAGATGATTGGATGTTTCAGGCTGATGACTTCATCAGACAAAATGCAGCTACTTGACCACCAGGTGAGAAAGTAAGGACCTTCTAGGAGAACCAAGCAGAAAGGGAATGACAATTCCCACAAATATTACGATAATGAACTCAAAAATTCTCAATTGTGTAGCCACAAAGTAACTATTTATGCATGGCATGCTTATTTCAGTGAGTATGTGGACATCTCCTAAAATTTCCAGTGTATACTTGCTTACATCACGTACTAAACACCATGTTGAGGCTAAACATCATTCTTACAATAAGAAGCAGCCATTGCTTCTCTGCTATCAGTTGTTAACAGATAATTTTTAGTTTCAAGTCCTATAACAAAATGCCTCTACAACTTACTGGGAAAAAAACAAAAACTGTACAAGTGCTACACTTTGAAAGGCAATTTTACACCCATTTTCCCTTAAAAGTTCATGAGCAAATCTTCCAACTGTAACCCAAGGTATATTGCCTAAGAAGACGAATATGTATGGAAAGCAAGTTATGTTCTATAAGTTGAAACCGTGACCTATCAGAATATAACACACACACACACAAACACAAACACAAACACACAGATATGAAGTTAAAATGGCAGTTAAAACATTCATGCCATATTATACAATGTTGCAAGTAAACTTACCCCCTAGTTAAAAGGAAAGCCATATATGAGCAATAATCAAATTACATTTTCCAAACAATATTCAATTTCAAAGGAGCATGGCCATAAATTTCGGAAAAAATGAGAATTGCCATATAAAACCATGAGCAAAATACAGAATCAGTTGAAATGCAAATTTTTGATACGTATAACAGATGCAACAAGGCTCGGCTTGTGGTAATTATCCGTTATCACAATGCCAATTATAATTAATGCCCAACCTGAAATTGAAAGCAAGTTTACAACACAAAAAATGTTTACCTTTGATGCAGTATCAGTGCCAAAAGGAGATCGAAGTTTTCCATAATGCTGATGAGCTATTTTGAGCAATGAGAGAAGCAACCTCAAAACTTCACTCTTTCGGTAATCCATTTCAGTAGATCCACAGTTTGTGATCCTCTCATCAATCCACTTGTTCAACTCTTTGTTACCAACATTACCACCAACCATCGGACCAGGAAAAGATTGTCGGCAAAGTGTATGGAAATAAGTATGAGCGCCCAATCTTGTGCTTGATGCATCAGTTTTGCCAGTGACAACTTCCATCAAGTTGAGAACAGAGATTGAGCCTCCTACAGGATCCTTCACATGAAAAGAGGAAAAAAATACATTTTTCACAATGATGTTGAAAAAAAAAGAAAAAAAAATGGAAAAGTTTAGGTAGAAGAGCTCATTATCTAACCTGGCTTCCGTATGATGAGGTATTGAGAGAACTATTGTCTTTCAACACAATGAGTTTTCCACCAAATCCAAAAGTAACCAAAGCATGTGGAGGACGGCCTGCAGATGACCTACCAGCGCTGGGAGCATAAGAGTATTGATGGCTACTCTGAAATGGTTGGGAAAAATTTACTGAATTCTGATTGCCATAGTAATCACTTGAGGCATGCATTTGCTCTTTTGGCTCCATTCTTGGCTGATTAAACTGCTGGTTGAAGTTCCCACCAGGAACAAAGCTTTGTGACCCAGAAATTGTCGAAAAGTCATTATGAACCTGACTTGCTTTCTCATAAGATGGAACTGTTCCCCTTGAATCATTAGACTTCAATTGATTGACATGGTTAGCAACAGAAAAAGTTGAACCATAATGATTATCCAATTGTTGGTTTCCACCATAATCTGAACTAAACTCGTTCTGGGCAACAGTCTCAGGTTGCCACACATTCGAACCGCTCTTGGCAACAGTCTCAGGTTGCCACACATTTAAGCCCTGCTGATTGTAATTACTGAAGGATCCGTTCCAGTTGTAATCTTGCCCTTGGCTACCAAAGCCTTCAGACCTGTAATTGCTGACTTGCCCGTATTCACCATATGTTTTGTGATCATTACCGCCAGATAAGTTACCAGTTGATGCAAACCCATTTTGGTTTAGTTGATCATGAGCTTGAACGGTTGATTGAACAGCTGATTGAACAGATGGAGTATAGGTCTCCAACGAGCGCCATTCTTGGGCAATTGTATCATAATACCAACCAGGATATTGAGGATCAAAAACCATATGTTCTGGGTATCCATTGTTCCCTTGTGACATCTGATTCCAATTAGAAACACTCCCAGTGATGCCACTCTCTTGTGACACCTGATTCCAGTTAGTGACGCTTTCTGTCGAACCACTCTCAGTTACAGCCCCCGCAACAGAGTGAGCAGTTTGTTGCATGTAAGAAACATCCAACTTTCCATCAGAAACAGCATGATCGCCAACTAGACTGGTGTCAAAGCTTCCTTGTGCATTTGCTGTGGCATCATAACCCTCCACTTGATACCACTGCCCAGTATTTGCATCATATTTCCACCCTGGATATAGATTCTCCCAATATTGACTACTATTTAGATCCTGTACCTCAGTGCTTTGTTCCGTAGCTGCACCACTTTGTTCTGTAGCTGCACCATAAACTTGATTCTCCTGATATTGTGCATAATTATAGGCGTTGTCAGTATAAGCAGTTTTAAGTTCTTCATTGCCAGGTACAGTCTTTGTTTCACTATTCAAATTATCTACCACCTTTCCATGAGGATCAACAGCACCATCTCCAAATTCACTGAAAAAATCCGAATACGATCCGAATCCATTAAATCCATCCTGCGCTGAATCAGAACTAAATGCACTCCATTGCACCTCCTTAACACCTGAACCCACAGATCCATTACTCTTGCTTATTGCCGAATCTGGTGTAACCTCTGATTCCTTAACATCATTGAGGGATTCAACTATACCATCAAACGCAAAGGAATTGGATGATACTAAGGAACTATTATGTTCTACATGAGCATCCACCGACACCTTATTAACATCCCCAGTAATCGCCCCTCCTTTTGCTTCAATCCCACCTTCGCCGTGCCCAGTAATAGCCCCTCCTTCTGCTTCAATCCCACCCTCGCCGCCTGAATCTTCAAACCCAGTCTCACCGACACTCAAATTCGCAAACGCTTTTGCCTCATCAGATTCATTGCCATCGGCAAAATTAGGCACCGATGACGACGATGGAGTGACCTTGTACTCATCATCATCATCGACCAATTTATCAAAGAAATCCTCATCTGTATCCTCCACCTGGAATGGAGGATTCGAAGCCATCGGCCAAGCCTAACCCTAACAACCCCTCTGGATCCCACTCAATTCACCACCAAAATCACTCAAATCCTTCGAAAATCGCTCCTCCCCGAACCCAATACCTCGAAATTCAAGCTAGTAACGTAACAAAAACTAGAGATCCAAAGCAAAAAAAAATAATTCTAACACACTAACCCTAGATCACCGCGAACAGAGCACAAAAAAGCAAGATCTGCAGATTTTCAGATCTCCCCCATTCTACAACCATATAAATACCAAAAAAAAAACCCAAAAATTTGCAAAATTGAGCTTGAATTCAACACATCATATTGAAGAGGAATTAAAAACTATGGATAACCCTAATAACTTACAGATCGAATCGCCAAATTGTGAAGCGAATCGAATCGAATCGAATCGAAGAGAGAGAGGGAATGAACAAAAGACAAGCCCTCGATTTCGCGCACCAGAGTTGCCAACAACCCACCAAAATGTTGGTTTTCGCGATCTCTTTCTCTCTCTTTTTTTTTTTTTTATGGTGGACTATATGTGTATCGTTGTTATTTAATTTGCTATTTATATATATTTTACTCTCTCTTACCATATTGCTTTTAATTTTATTTTTTACGGCCAGAGACAAGTATTGTATTTATGGATTTTTTTTTTTTTTTTTTGTTTTGTATTGCTCCTTTCGCGGCTTTTCGTAATAATATTTTGTCTTTATTGAATAAAGCATTATAGATTTTACAACATTTAGACTCAGATTTTTAGAAAAAAAAATATCGGTAATTAGATTTTTATATTTGGAAATAAAAAACAAAAAAGTTTTGTAGATCCTGAAAGTATTTGTTCTGGTAAGTTATTACACTAGTAAAGCACATTTAAACCTATTTAAATATGGGATACAATGGTCACATTACAACACATAAAATTGTTCCCAACCACAAAAGTACCAAGTGATTTTTGTTATTTTTTCATAATAAATAACCTTTTAAACCGGTTTGGGATGTGACAATTCCTTTCCAGTCACACGAATGATAAAAAATTATTCACAAATTTACACTACCCCGAGTTATGATCGGGTTGGATATTAGCAAAAACAATTCAAGCTTAAACAAATTTAAAATAAATTTTGTAAAAAAAAAATATTACTTTAAGTGTGGTCATATTATGCTCCAAATTAACATATTACACACATGTACTAAGAAAAGTGAAAAACTATGAAAGTCAACAAACCAACCTATTTTTGTTAGTTTGTCATTAAAACATGATGTTAAAGTAGCATGTGAATATCACATGTCAACTATTGCAACCATGAAGACTAAAATACTTTTAAATGACCAAAATATCCTTGAATTCCAAATATAGAGCAGGCCGTCGGTACGTAAAGTACTCACACACTACAGTCATCTCGTTCCTTTGTCTTCTTCAAATGTCCAATCGAAAGAAATTCGATTTGTTTTCTATTGCCATTGTATGATTTTCCTCACCCTACGTGCACTCGAGCTTGCATGCAAATTTTACTAGCCCTTCAGCGCCCAAAGCTCTCTTCTAGCCTTTAATTTATATATATATATATATATATATATATATATATATATATATATATGTATATATAACACAACGGATGGTTACCAGTTACCATTTAATTTGACCCTTTGCTACTTACATTTTCATATAAAATACAGTTCATATAAAACGCATTGCTTAAATGGTACTTTAAATGTGGCCTCATGCTCCAAATATGTGATCCGCATTGTGGACACACACTCAGGGAGGGTCCGGTGTCTGCCCAGGGAACACTTGCCCCCGGTTGGCCCACCCATTAAACATATATATATATATGGAAAATTTAAGGTAATACTTCCTAAAATTATTAGTTTCTAAAATTATTTATTAATTTAAAAAAGTTAAATTCTCCTTCTTAAATTAAACTCTAATTTTTTTCCTTCTAAATTCGGTCATTCTTTAAATATACATTATGGAAAATTTGGTAATACTTCCTAAAATTATTAGTTTCTAAAATTATTTATTAATTTAAAAAAGTTATATTCTCCTTCTTAAATTAAACTCTATTTTTTTCCCTTCTAAATTCGGTCATTCTTTAAATTCTTCTTTTTTCATGTTTCTTTTTCATCTTTTCTCTCTTGGCTGCGTTTGGTTAGATGGAATCAACTATAAAAAAAAAAGGAAAAAAAGGAAAGAGAATTTTTAAATTTTTTTGAGTTTGGATAGATAGAAAAAGAATCGTAATAGAAAAAATACTTTCCCACATTAGGCTACTTTGTTCCAAAACTTTCCTCACACAATAATATTTTCTCGTGAAAACTGTTTCTTTTTATTTAAAGTTCCTATTTTGTCCAATAACTGAACCATGTAAAATAACTAATTTATTTATTTTCTAACTAAGTTTCTTTTCTAATAGAGGCAAATTCTTTAACAATTTATATTTTAGTGGATTCTAGAAGGTAACTTCTCTCTAAATATGTTCTCTTGCAATACTATTTGGACGATTTTTTTTTTTTTTTTCCAAATATATACATTGTATCATATATATTATACACCTCTATTATATAGACAGAGAATAATATATATATTTTTTCTTTTTATGTTCTTGGTTGAAAGCCCATGAGTCCAAATTTTTTAAAAATTTTTATTTTTATTTTTATTTTTAAGCTTCGTTATTTCTCTTAAATGAATAGATAGTCTTGAAGTATTGTTTTAATTTAAACAATATAAATAATTATATTATTAAAATTTAATAATTCATTATTTTATTAAAACTTTAAATAAAATAAACATCATCAAACACAAATTTATTTATTTTTTTAGTATTTGAAATCAAAAGGGTAATTTTGGTATGCACAATCACTTTCTTTTCATTTTCATGTTATCCAAACTAACAAACTAATATTTTAATACAATTTTCCTGAAAAAAATTTCATCCTAACCAAATGTTTCATAGAAAATAATTTTTCTTTTCATTTACTTCACTTTTCTTTCATTTTCCATTACTTTTCTTTTCCCGCTTATTTCTATCTAACCAAACGGAACCTTAGTATAATTATTTTTTTTTTCGCTTAACATTGCAACTAATAATTTCGTTACAATCTGACCTTATATGATTTAATAGTATTAGAGGGTTTTGTGATTTAAACCCTTGATTCTGTTTGGTTAGATAGAAATAAGTTAGAAAAGAAAAGAAATAGAAAGTGAAGTGAATAAAAAGAAAAGATATTTTCTAATATGTATATGGTTAGTATGAAAATTTATTCAAGAAAATTGCAGAAAAATATTAATTTGTTAGTTTTGATATTAATAGCGTGAAAGTGAAAAGAAAGTGATGGATTATTAAATTCAAATATATAGTTGTTTTCATTCATTTTTTTTATTTTATATTTAGAATAAGGCTTCATAATATTTCCTTAAATAAAACTAATTATTAGTTTACGATAAACAAATTTAAAAAAACAAAAAAAATTAGAGATAAAGAGGCAATACTACTGTTTAGGAGAAAAATCAAATATACATCCATACCGGATTATGAGTTGATAGAATTGCAACATAAAACAAACAATTAAAAAATAAATAAATAATCAGGATATATTTTGAGCAATTTTATCCAAATTATCATTAATATTCTGTATATATAATTGTATAATTTGCCTTGCGAACTTACCTCGTAATAAAAGTTTACCTCATAATAGAAGTTGTTTTGGAGAAAATTTTGCACGATTAAGTTACTGGGTAAAATAGGAATTGCAAATAAAAAAACGTAATTTTACCCAAATTATTATTGATATTCTGTATATATAATTGTATAATTTGCCTTACGAACTTACCTCATAATAAAAGTTTAATAGAAGTTGTTTTGGAATTGCAAATAAATAAACGTTATTTTCACGTGAAAATAAAATTTTCACAATAAGGGAAACTAATTTTTCTTTAGTTCTCTCTTTCTATCTATCCAAATTCTAAAAAAAAATTTCAAAATTATTTTCTTTTCTAGCTGTTTCTATCTAACTAAACAAAGCCAAAGATTTTAGTATATTTTGCATATCTTATTTGTCCTTGACCAACTAATATACTACTATATTTTGCATATCTTATTTTAAATACTAATAATAATAAAAGAGGTTTTAGTATTACTCTGTATATATCCCTTTATATAGAGATAATCTTTAACCGTGTGATTCACAGAATCAGGTGATAAAATTATGAACATTAAAAATTCCCTTTATTGTACTGTGTTATTAACGTATGCTCAATTTTGGTAGATAATTTATTTTTTATTTTATTTTGGGATAAATTGTGACATCATGATGTTTCGGTTAATGTCATTTATACGCAGGTCAATGACTTTTTTAACAATTACACCCCTCTGATTCAAATATCATATTTACCCTTGATCATTTAATTCAATTAATTAACAAAATATGAGCCCTGTTAATCCACAAAACTACCATCATAATTAAGTCTTTTTTTTTTTATTCTAATCTCTAACTTTTTTATTATTATTATTTTTTTTTGTTCATTTTAGTACCTAGCCACCATGTTATTATTATTTTTTATTTGGTAAATTGCACCCCTCCTCATTCTTCTCGCTGGTGGAGGAGCTATCGATAGCCGATAGAATGAAACGTAACTGGTGGTGGAGGAGATGGAGGATAGAACAAGTTAATTCGCAAAATTTGGGAGGGCCCTTAGGGAGTGTCAGTGCAATTTAGCCTTTATATTGAAAAATTAAAGAGAAGAATGTACAAAGATTAAAGGCCCGATGACAAATTAGGCCCAACAGAAAAACATCCTGCTTATCCAAATTACTCCCTCTATTCTAAAAAGAATGTCGTTTTTTGGGAACCGTGACTCACAATTACTTTTTGGTAATCGTGACTCACAAAAAAAGACTTCCTTTTTAGAACAAAGGTAGTAGTATTTTTATATCCTAGTGCTGCGTTCCTTTCATGTGCAAGACAAATCATTCTTACATTGAACTTATATTAAAATTTTAATTTTTAGAACAAATCAATTCTGCATTGAACTTAGACTAAGGTTTCAAGTAAATCAAATCCATTTAAAATGCACCTATATTTTTATTATTATATATCTCAATCTCAGTCAAGCACGTACACGGGACACGAATACGACACGACACGACACGGATACATTGACACGTTAAATTTTTAAAAAGTAAGACACTGATACGATTTGAACACACTAAATATAAATATGAATTTTTATTTATACACATGTATTGATTAATAATATTATAAAATTTTAATTCATTTCTAATTTTTATACTAAAAGTTGTAATGACTTTATATCATACATATAGTTATTCCACTACTTTGTCATAATAATGTTTTTTATTTTAAATGAACAAATATTATTTAATTCTTCTCTTGTGGTCATATGTATATAATATCAAATTTTTTTAAAGGAAAAAATTGAGCACTTTAGAATGTGTTTATATTATTCTTAAGATTACCGGGTAAAATTGTGTTGGAAATGTTTGAAAGTGTCAACCTAAATGTCTAAAAAGTTTTGGTT